TAGAGGGCCACCACAAAATTGTATATTGGCTCCCGGCCAGCTCCAACACTGGAAGCTTTTAAAAAGAGACTGGACAGCCATTTGTCTGAAATGGTACAGGGTTTCCTGCCTGAGCAGGTAGTTGGACTAGATGACCTCCAAGGTCCCTTTCAACTTTATTATTAATATTATTAGAGGTCCCCAACCTTTTGGACACCAGGAACCGGTTCCGTGGAGAGAGTTTTTCCACAGACCGGAGGGTGTGTGGTTTTGTGTGCTGCCTGCATCCCATGGATGGGGCTTTGCTTGTTTCTGTGGCCCTAATGTGGAATAATGAACAATCACTAGAATAATGATGTGTCTGCATAATTACTGGAATAATGCTGTGTTAGTAGTATGTGACTAACCTAATGCGCATTGCACTTGGATACAATGTATGTAGCAAACTCTCCATTGTATACCCCTGAGAAACGAACCTAATGTATTACAATGTGTATTTCAATGTGTATTCCTTTGTTCCTGAGAAAGAGAAAGTATAAAACTGAAGTCTGAATCGGCCCTCGGGGTTCAGAATTGCTTGTTGCTATTGCTTCTGAACCTGCGCAATAAATCTCTCTGCTAAAACCCTCTGGAATTCGTAAGAGTCCTTTCATTTTCCACAAAAGCCTGGTTGCTGGCATGCCGTGGTCTGGTACCTGTTGGGGACCCCTGAAGTAGAGATACTACCTGTTTAGATCTCTAACACAAGCTTGCAACCCAAACGGGCAACTACAAAGAGTGCAGAAAAGAGCAACAAAGATGATTAGAGGGCTAGAGGCAGGAAATGGGTATGTCTAGTCTAGTGAAAAGAAGGACTTTGGGGTGACAGGATAGCAGCGTTCTAATATCTCAGGGGCTGCCCCAAAGAAGAGGGAGTCAAGCTATTCTCCAAAGCACCAGAAGGCAGGAACAGAAGCAACGGATGGAAACGGATCGAGGAGAGAAGCAACCTAGAACTAAGGAGAAATTTCCTGACAGTTAGAACAATTAATCAGTGGAACAACTTGCCTCCAGAAGTTGTGGATGCTCCAACACTGGAAGCTTTTAAAAAAGAGACTGGACAGCCATTTGTCTGGAATGGCGTAAGGTCTCCTGCTTGAGCTTCAGAGGGTGAACTAGAACAGGGGTCCACAAGTTAGGACACTTTATGACTTATGAACTTCAACTCCCAGGAAGTTCATAAGTCATAAAGTCACCGAGGAATTCTGGGAATTGAAGTCCACAAGTCATAAAAGGGCCAAGATTGGAGATCTCTGTATTAGAAGACCGTCAAGGTTCCTTCTAACTCTATTCATCTGTTATTCTGTTAAATTTCATGCTTAGGATTCATCTGTGTGAAACGGTTTGTAATCCACACGATTAGGTGGTAATACATGTCTTAGTTTTAAGGAACCACTACTCATAGTGGCTTTAGACCCAGGGCTGGTGGTTTTTTTCCCCCCTTGGTTACTCAGCTTTTTTAATCTTTGAAATTACATAATAGGGAGATAATCTGATGGTGTTGCCTATCTTGAGTAATGAAACGTCTGCAAGAAAACAACCAAGCTCAGAGTGCGCCAAAGATGCCTCAGATAGAAAAATCACCCAATAAAGTGTTTCGCCGTCATTTCATTCACGACTACGTTGTGGGCATAACAGTGACGAGAGGATAGCAACAACTGATGGAAGCAGTTTACTTATTTTTCTATCCATGAGCTGTCCTTACTCTCAGGAAAATAGAAATCCAGTATCAAACTGGAAAGAATCAAGTTCTTTCAGTTCTCAGTTTTCAGCTGCAAAACCCACTTCCTTGTTCACGGTGATGCCCTTCTCGAACTACATTGAATTAAAATATTTGTTGGATGGAAACGAATCGAGAAAAGAATTAAGGAGAAACTTCCTAACAGTGAGGACAATTAATCAGTGGAACAGCTTGCCTCCAGAAGTTGTGGGCGCTTCATCCCTGGAGGCAGTGGTGGGATTCAAATAGGTAAACAACCGGTTCTCTGTGTGGATGCCACTTCCAGAAGTCCATTCTGGGCCTGGGCAACAAAAAATTAGCTACCGGTTCTGCCGAAGTGATGTGAACCGGCTGAATCCCATCCCTGACTGGAGGTGTTTAAGAGACTGGACAGCCATTTGTCTGAAATGGTATAGAGCAGTGGTTCTCAACCTGTGGGTCGGGACCCCATTTGGGGTCGAACGACCATTTCACGGGGGTCGCCAAACAATGCAGTCCGCCATTTTTTCCCCTTTTCCTTAGCTGTGCTATTCCCTTTTATTCTATTGGCTTTTGAAAGCCAATAGAATAGACTCTCTTAAATAGAGTCTAATTCTATTGGCTTTCAAAAGCCAATAGGAATTGTCCAGGCTGTCTCTGCCCTGCTGAGCCCACCAAAAGTCCCATTCTGCAAACGGTGCTGCACCAGTTGAATAGTCCTTGACTTACGACCGGTTGAGTAGTCCTCGACTTACGACCGGTTGGGGGTCGCGGGATTAAAAAGGTTGAGAACCACTGGTATAGGGTCTCCTGCTTGAGCAGGGGGCTGGACTGGAAGATCTCTAAGGTCACTTCCAGCTCCATTCTGATTCTGGATTTGATCTAACACAGTCGTTCTCAAGCTGTGGTCCATGTCATCACAGGGGGTCCGTGAAGGCTAGAAGAAACATTATGATTTAAATCTTGAGTTATGTCTCGGGGGTTCCGTGGCCAGGATATGTGGCCACAAAAGATATTTACAGGGGATCCGTGGTGAAGAAAAAGAAGCACTGATTTAACACGCTCAGGGATCCCAATTGGTGTCGTTTCTGAACCACAATTTGTGACACGTGGATTTTTGAAAAGAAGGGTTCATTCCGCAAATGCAGGTGGTCCTCAAACGTACGGCCACGACTGAGCCCAAATTCTATGTTGCGAAGTGAGAAATTTGTTAAGTGATTTTTTGTCCCGTTTTACGACTTTTCTCGCCACTGCAGCTGTTAAATTAGTTACACAGTTGTTAAGTGAATCTGTCTTCCCCCGTTGACGTTGTTTGTCAGAAGGTCGCCAAAGGGGATCACACGATCCCAGGATCACTGCGACCGTCATAAATGTGAGTCAGTTGTCAAGCATCCGAAGGTAAAACGTGACCACGGGGTGCTGCAACAGTCATAAACGTGAAAAATGGTCTTAAGTCGTTTTTTTCAGCGCCGTCGTAACTTCAAACGGTCACTAAATGAACTGTCGTAAGTTGAGAACTACCTGTATTGCAAAATTTGGCTTAGTGAAACAAACGAATTCCTTTGCTGTCTCTTATCCTAACCTTTGATGCTGGGCTAACTGTGACAGGATAATTTGGGGAGAGAAACAAAGATTCTGCCCCCCCCCCATGTATGCTGTCTTGAAATAACTATAGTGGCTCAATAAATTAATTCTAAACTACAACTGTAGTGGCTAAATGAATTAGACATCACCAGTAGTAGACGTTTATATACACTGTGCTAGAAGCACCTTCACCCTTCACGATCCGCAATATGACTTGTTCGATTTTAAACGGCCACGTTCCGTGAACATCGCCGTTGTGGTTTGCAGACGGCAATTGTTAGGTTTATGTCTGATTGGCTAATGGTAGTTTATGTGAGGCTGGAGCACAATGTATGAACTCCGACCTTATGCAGCAGGAGATGGTTACAGCCCCTAGCAAACTTGGCTAATCTTGAAAAATCTTGAGCAGGATTGTTCCCAGTTGGGACCTGGATGGGAGGCCACGAGGTAATCCTGTGGTTCTGGACTTCATCAACGACAGTGTTGTTGATGATGATGATGATGAGGAGGAGGAGGAGGAGGAGGAGGAGGAGGAGGAGGAGGAGAAGAAGAAGAAGAAGAAGAAGAAGAAGAAGAAGAAGAAGAAGAAGAAGAAGAAGAAGAAGAAGAAGAAGGAAGAAGAAGAAGAAGAAGAAGAAGAAGAAGAAGAAGAAGAAGAAGAAGAAGAAGAAGAAGAAGAAGAAGAAGAAGAAGAAGAAGAAGAAGAAGAAGAAGAAGAAGAAGAAGAAGAAGAAGAAGAAGAAGAAGAAGAAGAAGAGGAGGAGGAGGAGGAGCAGCAGCAGCAGCAGCAGCAGCGAGGAGGAGGAGAAGGAGGAGGAGGAGGAGAAGAAGAAGAAAGAGGAGGGGGAGGAGGAGGAGGAAGAGGAGGAGAAGAAGGAGAAGAAGAAGAAGAAGAAGAAGAAGAAGAAGAAGAAGAAGAAGAAGAAGAAGAAGAAGAAGAAGAAGAAGAAGAGGAAAAGGAAGAAGAAGAAGAAGAAGAAGAAGAAGAAGAAGAAGAAGAAGAAGAAGAAGAAGAAGAAGAAGAAGAATTCAAACAGATAAGCACCTACCCCATAACACCCCAGACTTAACAACTGTCGATAAGAAAGACAAAAAAGTCTGGATAGTGGACGTGGACGTGCCTGGAGACAGCAGAATAGATGAGAAAGAACTGGCTATTCTATGGACCAGGTCTCTCCACACCTTGCACTGCTTCTCTTAGTTATTCCATGTTCTGGCTGGCATCAGCTTGGATGGTGTCCACAATTACACACCATTTCCAAGAAAACTGCATAAATGTGTCCATGATATGCCGGGATTCTTTTCCCTCTTAAACTTTAGCCACAAAACCTCTGGATCTCCCTGCGGTGTGGTTAGTTGGCCAAATAAGTGTCGTTCCTCTCCTACCTTGATCTTCTCCAGGTTGGTGGTCACCAATGTACCCATCTGCCTTCCGGCTCTTCTTCACCGCAGGCCTCCCGTGAACTTCTGCAAACCAATCTTGCCGTTTGTCTCAGGGTGTTAAGCAATCCCAAAGGGAATTTCAGGGAACCATCCTTATCATCCTTATTGATCACAGGCTCAATGGTCAAGGCCATCATGAAATCTTCGTGCCCTGTAAAAGTTAATGGAAGTTAACTATTAAGGCTGTATATATTGAGTTTTCCGCAGCTATATAAAGGGAGGCGTTTAAATGGACAGACACATACCTTGAACGGCCTCTGATTTTTCTCCACTGGGGACAAAAATCCTAGCTAGATGCATCTTCGGTTCCACAGAGCTCGCTGAAGACTCTTCCAGGGTAAGAAAGAGATCTGTTTATACAGATCATTATAAGTTTTATATAGTTATCCAGTTATGCAGCATATATATATATATATATATATATATATATATATATATATATATATATATATATATATATATATATTTGTTTTCTGAGGTTTTCGCGGGCTTTTGTATGTAGGTCTTTGGTTATTTGGGTTTTCTCCTACGTAAAATTGGAAGTGTCTTGCCAACGTTTCGACAAAGTCCCATTCGTCATCTTCAGGCATTGCTCCTCGAAGCACGAAGCTGAAAACACCAGCCTGAAGATGACGAATGGGACTTCGTCGAAACGTCGCCAAGACACTTCCAATTTTACGCGGGAGAAAACCCGAATAACCAAAGACCTACAGATAGATAGATAGATAGATAGATAGATAGATAGATAGATAGATAGATAGGACTAGTTCTCTCTCTCTCTCTCTCTCTCTCTCTCTCTCTCTCTCTCTCTCTCTCTCTCCCTCCCTCCCTCTCTCCCTCCCTCCCTCCCTCTCTCTCTCTCTCTCTCTATATATATATATATATATATATAGGACTAGTATTGTTGTAGGACTAGTTCCTTTATATATATGTATATGTATGTATGTATGTATGTATGTATGTGTATATATATATATATGTATATATATATATATATATATATATATATATATATACGCATATATATAAAGGAACTAGTCCTACAACAATACTATTGTTATTATCTATATTTAAAATTCCCTTTCTATCAGGAACTCAAGGAAGTCTACACAATCTTCTCCCATCTCCTTTTTTTACTGCATAACCATAATCTTAGGAGTTTTATTCTTCATTTTTTTTAAAAAAATATTTTTCATAAGTATTTTGGAGCATCGGTGGGGCCGACAATGTTGATTGCTGTAGATACGGTCTGTGTGATGGCCAGCCATTTTAAAGAATCAAAAGTCAAGGGAAAAATGGATATCCTGAATCTTGACATTTAACGCAGGGCACCATCTAGAAGGACTTCTGCTCTGTGGACCCAATGGATTTGGAAGTTCTGATGGACATTGTCAACGGGTCTTTCAACCTGGGTCGGTGTTATGCTGAAGCTGAGCTGGAACAATTACTGAAGACCCCGTGGTCTAACTGCATTGGTTCCTTGAGAATGGTAGACTCATACGGCTGGAAGGATCCTTGAAGGTCTTCAAGTCCAATCTCCTGCCCAAGGCAGAAGTCCTTATACCATCCCAGACAAAGGGTTGTCCAATCTTTTCTTGAAAACCTCCACCCATAGCTCCTGGAGTCAAACTATTCCGTTGTTCTCGCTGTCAGGAAATTTCTCCTTAGGTTCCAGTTTGGATCTCTCTTCAGAACAAACTTTCACCCATTTCTTCTTGTGCTGTCCTCTGGCACTTTGGAGAATAAATTGATCCCCTCTTCTCTGTGACTGGCCCTCAAATATTGGAAGACAGTGATCATGTCATCCCTAAACCTTGACTAGACTAGACTAGACTAGACTAGACTAGACTAGACTAGACTAGACTAGACTAGACTAGAATAGAATAGAACAGAATAGAACAGAACAACTGAAAGAAGCATTGTTTGTCAAGATGGCATGCAGAGCACTTGCCTATAAAGTCGCCAAGAATCGGACACAACTGAAGGGTTAAAACAGTGGTTCTCAACCTTTTTAATGCCGCGACCCCCAACCGGTCGTAAGTCGAGGACTATTCAACCGGTCATAAGTCGAGGACTACTCAACTGGTGCAGCACCATTTGCAGAATGGGACTTTTGGCGGGCTCAGCAGGGCAGAGACAGCCTGGACAATTCCTATTGGCTTTTGAAAGCCAATAGAATTAGACTCTTTCAAGAGAGTCTATTCTATTGGCTTTCAAAAGCCAATAGAATAAAAGGGAGTAGCACAGCTAAGGAAAAGGGGGAAAAAAATGGCGGACTGCGTTGTTTGGCGACCCCCATGAAACGGTCGTTCGACCCCAAATGGGGTCCCGACCCACAGGTTGAGAACCACTGGGTTAAAACAACAAATGGCAATTATTGTTATTACAGTTCATTGCCCAGTCAGCCAGATGTTCAGGCTGGATTTGGCATTCTTATCCACCTATCTAGTCCTTCCCAAGGACCTGGAATAAGCAGATGTGGATGTTTGATGGCGGTTAAAGGTATCGCAAGATGGAAGCTGTTTGAAGTAAAGCTGCTTTTTTGCAATTGGCCGACGGTGATTTTGTCAATGCCGGAGGCGTTCAGGAGCGCTTCAGTTGTTTTGGGATAGCACCCAGGGCATCTGTGACTACTGGGATTGTTGTTAATATTATTAGCTGCAGTAGCATTTATTAATTCAGTTTCATATAATAAATGTTTGAGGGTGAGGCCGAGGGAGAATAGGAAATTTCACGAAGGGGTCCATTTACTGAAGCGTTTAAAAGGAACAGAGTGTTTACACAAACATCAAAGCAGCTTCAGCTGAGATTCCCAAACCCAGGACCTTCAGTAACGCAGGTACTCCTCGGCTTACAACAGTTCATTTAGTGACCGTTCAAAGTTACAACGGCACTGGAAAAAAAAGGGATTGGTGACTTTTTCACCCTTACGACCTTTGCAGCATCAACAGGGTCACATGACCAAAATTCAGACACTCGGCAACTGACTCATATTTACGACGGTTGTAGCGTCCCCCCTGGGGTCACGTGATCCCTTTTTGCCACCTTCTGACCGGCAAAGTCCATGGGGGAAGCCGGATTCACTTAACAACCGTGTTACTGACTTAACAACGGCAGCGATCCATTTAACAGCCATCTCAAGAAAGGTGGTAAAAATGGGGCAAAGCTCACTTAACAACTGTTTGGCTTAGCATTGATTTTGGGCTCATTTGTGATCGTGACTCAAGGATGTACCTGTAAAAAAGATGTTGAGACTCTAGAAAGAGTGCAGAGAAGAGCAACAAAGATGATCAGGGGACTGGAGGCTAAAGCATATAAGGAGCAGCTGCTGGAATTGGGTATGTCTAGTTTAACAAAGGGAAGGACGAGGGGGGACATGATAGCAATGTTCCAATATCTCAGGGGCTGCCCCAAAGAAGAGGTAGTCAAGCTATTCTCCAAAGTGCCTGAAGGCAGGACAAGAAGCAACGGATGGAAAAATCAAGAAGAGAAGCAACCTAGAACTAAGGAGAAACTTCCTAAGAGTTAGAACAATTAACCAGTGGAACAACCTGCCTCCAGAAGCGGTGAATGCTCCAACACTGGAAGTCTTTAAGAAGAGACTGGACAGACATTTGTCTGAAATGATATAGGGCCTCCTGCCTGAGCAGGGGGTTGGACTAGATGACCTCCAAGATCCCTTCCAACTGTATTATTATTATTATTATGGATCATCGCACAGTCAGCCAGATGTTCAGACTGGATTTGGCATTTTGTCTACCTATCGAGTCCTTACCCAGGACCTGGGATAGGCAGATGTAGATGTTTTATGGTATTACAGGTATCGTCGCAGGATGGAAGCAGTTCCTAATAAGGCCGCCTTTTGCAATTGACTAATAGCAAATTTGTCAATGCCAATGGTGTTCAAGTGGTGCTCCAGTTGTTTTGGGATTGCGCCCAAGGAGCCTATGACTATTGGTACTACCTTGCTTGCTTTTGCCACAGTCTTTCTATTTCTATTTGTAGGTCTTTGTATTTTGTTATCTTCTCCAGTTCTTTCTCTTCTATTCTGCTGTCTCCAGGCACTGCCACGTCCACTATCCAGACTTTTTTGTCTTTCTTATCGACAATTGTTACGTCTGGGGTGTTATGTTGCAGGTGCTTGTCTGTTTGAATTCTGAAGTCCAGAGCAGTTTAATTTGATCATTTTCTATGACTTTCTCTATTTTATGATCCCACCAGTTTTTGCTTACAGGCAAATGATATTTTTTGCAGATCTTCCAATGCACCATTGTTGCTACTTTGTCATGCCGCTGCTTGTAGTCAGTCTGTGCAATCTTCTTGCAACAGCTTACCAGGTGGTCCACTGTTTCTTCAGCTTCTTTGCATAGGCGGCACTTACTGTCTGTTGCTGTCTTCTCAATTTTGACTTTGTATGCATTTGTCCTTAAGCTTGGTCTTGTGCAGCCAGAATTAGTCCCTCGGTCTCTTTCTTCAATTTTCCTGCTCTTAGCCATTGCCAGGTTTTATTATTATCTGCTTTCCCAGCTATTTTTTTCATGTATTGGCCATGTAGTGCTTTGTCTTCCCATGCCTCTATTCTGTTCTTCATTTGGTCTTTCTTGTAGGCCGCTTTGGTCTCTCCAGTAGTTAGTAAACCTTCCTGATGTACTAATTTCAGTGCATCTTCATCATTGTTCTTCAGATATTCTTCCAAAGCCATTTTTTCTTCTTCAACCATCTGATGTACTTTTAGCATTCCACGCCCACCTATTTGCCTTGGTAGATAAAGTCTATCAATGTCACTGCGTGGATGAAGGACATGATTCATTGTCATTATTTTTCTGGTCTGCCTATCCATTGCTTTTAGTTCTGCTTGAGTCCAGTCCACTATTCCAGCTGTGTACCTAATGACTGGGATTGCCCAGGTATTGATTGCCTTTATGGTATTTCCTCCATTGAGTTTGGACTTTAAGATCTTCACTCTCTTGATGTATTCACCTCTAATCTTTTTCTTGACTTCAGTGTGCTTGATGTTGTCAGCTTGAAGGATACCCAAGTATTTGTAGTACTCTTCCTCATCCAGATTCTTAATGTTATTTTCATGGGGCATCTTGATTCCTTCAGTTTTCACTATTTTTCCTTGTTTGATAGTAAGTGTGGCACATTTGTCCAAGCCAAACTCCATTACAATATCTTGGCTATATATACGGACAGTGTTGAGCAGCGATTCTATTTCAGATGATGTTTTTCCATACAGCTTCAGATCATCCATGTAAAGGAGGTGGGATAGTCTAGCAGATGTTTTTGATGTTTGATAGCCATGTCCTGAGTTATTCAGTATTGTTGACAGAGGAAACAGTGCAATAACAAATAGTAATGGTGATAATGAATCTCCTTGAAATATCCCTCTCTTGATATTAACCTCTCCCAGCTTCTCACCATTGATCTGCAACTGTGTCTTCCATTGTGCCATCGATCTTTGCACAAATTTTCTGATGTTTCTACTGACTCCTGTTATTTCTAGGCACTTGATTATCCAATCATGTGGCAGAGAGTCAAATGCCTTTTTGTAGTCAATCCATGCCACATTCAGGTTGGTCTTCCTTCTCTTGCAGTTTTCCAAGATCATTTTGTCTATTAGGAGTTGATCTTTTGTTCCTCTGCTATTGGGGCAGTTTCCTTTCTGCTCAGGTGGAAAGAGATTGTTTTCAACTAGATGCTGTTGTACTGCATCAGCTACCACACCAGTTAGTAATTTGAAAGTTGTTGGTAAGCAGGTAATTGGCCTGTAGTTACCTGGTGTTGCCCCTTTTGCTGGATTTTTCATTATTAGGTAGGTTTTCCCAGTTGTTAGCCACTTTTCAATTTCTCCTCCTTGTAGTATATTGTTGAACTGCTTGGCAATGAGTGGGTGTATAACAGTTAGATGTTTCAACCAAAACCCATGCAGTTCATCTTCACCTAGTGCTGACCAATTTTTGATTTTTTTTGCTCTTTTTTCTACCATTTTTGTTGTTATTACTAGTTCTTTCATTTCAACTTCTGTTTTATTTGCATCCACCTCTTTTAACCAAGCCGCATCCTTGTTGTATTTCTTTGGGTTATCCCATATCTGCTTCCAGAACTGCACTGTTTCTTATTATCAATCATCGCACAGTCAGCCAGATGTTCAGACTGGATTTGGCATTTTGTCTACCTATCGAGTACTTACCCAGGACCTGGGATAGGCAGATGTAGATGTTTGATGGTATTACAGTATCGTCGCAGGATGGAAGCAGTTCCTAATAAGGCCGCCTTTTGCAATTGACTAATAGCGAATTTGTCAATGCCAATGGTGTTCAAGTGGTGCTCCAGTTGTTTTGGGATTGCGCCCAAGGAGCCTATGACTATTGGTACTACCCTTGCTTGCTTTTGCCACAGTCTTTCTATTTCTATTTGTAGGTCTTTGTATTTTGTTATCTTCTCCAGTTCTTTCTCTTCTATTCTGCTGTCTCCAGGCACTGCCACGTCCACTATCCAGACTTTTTTGTCTTTCTTATCGACAATTGTTAAGTCTGGGGTGTTATGTTGCAGGTGCTTGTCTGTTTGAATTCTGAAGTCCCAGAGCAGTTTAATTTTATCATTTTCTATGACTTTCTCTATTTTATGATCCCACCAGTTTTTGCTTACAGGCAAATGATATTTTTTGCAGATCTTCCAATGCACCATTGTTTCTACTTTGTCATGTCGCTGCTTGTAATCAGTCTGTGCAATCTTCTTGCAACAGCTTACCAAGTGGTCCACTGTTTCTTCAGCTTCTTTGCATAGGCGGCACTTACTGTCTGTTATTATTATTATTATTATTATTATTATTATTATTATTATTATCATCATCATCATCATTGTGGATCATCGCACAGTCAGCCAGATGTTCAGACTGGATGATGATGATGATGATGATGATGATGATGATGATTATGGATCATTGCACAGTCAGCCAGATGTTCAGACTGGATTTGGCATTTTGTCTACCTATCAAGTCCTTACCCAGGACCTGAGATAGGCAGATGTGGATGTTTGATGTTATTACAGATATCGTCGCAGGATGGAAGCAGTTCCTACTAAGGCCGCCTTTTGCAATTGACTAATGGCAAATTTTATTATTATTATCCCCCAGTGAGGCACTACCTTGACGTGGTTGTGGGGCTTGTGTACTTATTATTATTATTTGGATGGAATAATCTGGATGGCTATAGATTAGCAGAAGAGTAAATGTATTTCTTGGCTGCTAGTTTTAAAGCTTCGGCAGTCCACATACAATAACCCCACTTTTCTCAAAAGAACTATTTCTCCAGCACAGCAAAATGAGCTGCTTTTTCCTGTTTTGAGATTCTCGGTTGCCAGAGAACACTAAAAGGAAATAAATCTCTGGTAATCATTACTATAAATGTCCATATAAACCCACAAACCCACAAACCTGCTCTTGGGTTCCACAATTTCCTCAAGTGTAAATGAAACCTTGGTCATTTTGGCTCGGCTCCATCCCTTCATGGTGAAAGGACAGGTTGAAATTAAGTGGACCGTCCCTCTTTTTTCGAAAGCAGCCACGTTGCCCTTTCTCACCATTATAACTGGAAGCACACAAAAAGGGCCTTGATCGTTCTAATCTCCGAAACCGTTGACTCAGAGATAGGCAGATAGCTTCCTTATATTTAAGCTCTTTTGTCAGAATTGTGGTGATTGTGGTGATGGGGACAGAGAGTTTTATTTTTCCTTGCCAAAGAAGTGTGGAAATGGAGATGATGGAGGAGGAGGAGGAAGAAGAGGTTTCAATATTATATTCCTATTTTGTTTGATCTTCAAAGGTGGCAGTACTTAATTAGGGCTTCACGCCACTCTGGTCTTCAGGATACTAAGTTATGTTTTAAAGCACAGCCTGTTATTTATTTTCAAGCCTCCAGTGATTAAGAAGATGAAGGACTCAAACGGCTACCAGAAGGAACACTTGGCCAGAGAAAGGGTAGAAGCTGTCAATAACCAGTACGTGATCACCGGACCAGTTTACTCAGATCTATCATTTGATGAAGAGCACCAGAAGGTCCATAGACACCATAAAACGTTGGTGGACCATCTCAGATTATGCTTTAGGTAAGAGGCTTGCTTTTTTTTTTTTTTTAAACGTCATACTATAAACAATTAAGGGTTGATCATTGTCAGGTTTTCAAATCAGGTTGGTGAGATTAGGGGGGGGGGTGACCTGCGTGAAGATTTTCATGGACCTGATTCATCCATTGCCATAATAAGCCATGGTTTCAATTTGGCTTACTGACCAAACCAGAATGGACTGAATGGGCACACAAGGCACAAAAAATAAATTTACAGGCTGCAATGTCTAGATCAGTGGTTCTCAACCTTTTTAATCCCGTGACCCCCAACCGGTCGTAAGTCGAGGACTACTCAACCAGTCGTAAGTCGAGGACTACTCAACTGGTGCAGCACCGTTTGCAGAATGGGACTTTTGGCGGGCTCAGCAGGGCAGAGACAGCCTGGACAATTCCTATTGGCTTTGGAAAGCCAATAGAATTAGACTCTATTCAAGAGAGTCTATTCTATTGGCTTTCAAAGCCAATAGAATAAAAGGGAGTAGCACAGCTAAGGAAAAGGGGAAAAAAATGGCGGACTGCGTTGTTTGGCGACCCCCGTGAAATGGTCGTTCGACCCCAAATGGGGTCCCGACCCACAGGTTGAGAACCACTGGTCTAGATTCACACCCCGTGTTACCTGTCCAGAGAAAAAACCTTCACATTTAGAGCAGAACGTGTACCGAGTGGGTGGCTAGTTAATACTATATTGTGGCTGATTAATTTGCAGCCAAATATCTTGTACAAACCCAGGTGGTGTTGACAGTTTATGCTTCTATAAAATCCGGCAAGTGGATTAACCGATTAATACAGATACCAGTTAATCATGGATGATCATATTGCAATAGTCAGCATTGGGGTGCTGAAAAGAAAGACAGAATCGCAAAGGCTTTTTGTTCTGTTGATTTGCACCATAATAGGAAAAATATAACTTCTCACTTAGTATCCTGCTATTATATTCCACAAGGGAAAAGGATCTTCCCTTCACATTGTCAAAATACAGGATAAGAGAGTTGGAAGGGACCTTGGAGGTCATCTAGTCCAACCCCCTACTCAGGCAGGAAACCCTATACCATTTCGGACAAATGGCTGTCCAGTCTCTTCTTAAAAACTTCCAGTGTTGGAGCATTCACAGCTTCTGGAGGCAAGTTATTCCACTGGTTAATTGTTCTAACTGTCAGGAAGTTTCTCCTTAGTTCTAGGTTGCTTCTCTCTTTGGTTAGTTTCCGTCCGTTGCTTCTTGTCCTGCCTTCAGGCGCTTTGGAGAATAGCTTGACTCCCTCTTCTTTGGGGCAGCGCCTGAGATATTGGAAGACTGCTATCATGTCCCCCCTCGTCCTTCTCTTCATTAGACTAGACATACCCAATTCCAGCAATCATTTATCATATGGTTTCACCTCCTGTCTTCTAATCAGTCCCCTAAATACGGTTGCAGTTGTCTCAGCTAGCATATTAGTAGTAGAATATTTAGAACAGAATAGAGCTGGAAGGGACCATGGAGGTCTTCTAGTCCAGCCCCCTGCTCAAGCAGGAGAACCTATACCATTTCAGACAATATCTGAAGGATTATAGGATTTTCTCTTTGACATAACGTTGTTTCCACGTAAAATGTCCGTATTTGAACCGTCGCTTAGTGCTCTGTTGTCTTTTCAGGTGTACCCCACAAAGGGCCAAAAGTGCCGCTCTTCATTTGTTCCCTGTGGCTTCCTGGTTACCAGCATATCAGATCAAGAAATGGCTTCTTAGCGACATCGTTTCCGGAATTAGCACGGGGCTGGTCGCCATCCTACAAGGTGGCTGTTTTGCGTTTCCTGGTTAATAAATGCATCCTTTTCTCTTTTTTTCTGCATGAGGTGCTGTCCTCACCACCTCAGCTTATGACCACCATTGACCCCAAAATTTCTCTCGCTGAGCAAGAGACAGTGAGTTTTTAAGTGAGTTTTGCCCCCATTTTACGACCCTTCTTGTCCCAGCTGTAAAGTGAATCACTCCAGCTGATAAGTTAGTAACCTCGTTGTTAAGTGAATCTGGCTTCCCCCGTTGACTTTGCTTGTCAGAAGATCCCAAAAGGGGATCACATGATCCCGTCAGGATGCTGCGACCGTCATAAATACGAATCACTTGCCAAGCATCCCTATTTTGATCACGTGACCGTAGGGATGCTGCAACGGTCGTAAGTGTGAAAAATGACCGTGTCACTTTTTTCCGTTGTAACTTTGAACGCTTGTAAGGTGAGGACCATGTGCAGTTTTTCACTCAATATTATTTTTTTTTCTTTTCCTGAAGGCCTAGCATTTGCTTTATTGGCAAACGTTCCTCCGAGTTATGGACTCTACGCAGCATTTTTCCCCGTGGTTATATATTTCTTCTTTGGCACGTCCAGACATATATCGGTCGGTAAGTTGAACTAAATTCCAGTGAATTTGGAGCCAAGGTTTTAATTAGCCTTGCAATATCACATGCTCAATCAAGCTGAAGCTCAAATGACGTGGCTTATGATCAAGTGCAGCTGAGAAAATCCATAAAACATAATCTCAGGGGTCAACACAAACTTTTTGTCATAATCATGTTTGAGGGAGGCAGCATAAATAGGTGGCATAGGGTGATTTTTATGACTGCGCAAGACTGTCACGCATGAAGGAGATCTAAAATTCTTTCAAACAAAATTATATCAAGGAGAGAAGACACCTAGAACTAAGAAGGAATTTCCTGATAGTTAGAACAATTAACCAGTGGAACAACCTGCCTCCAGAAGTTGTGAATGCTCCAACACTGGAAGTTTTTAAGAAGAGACTGGACAGCCATTTGTCTGAAATGGTATAGGGTTTCCTGCCTGAGCAGGGGGGTTGGACTAGATGACCTCCAAGGTCCCTTCCAATTATGCTATTCTATTCTATTCTAGTCGAGAAGCAATCTAGAAATAAGGAGAAATTTCCTCACAGTGAGGACAATCAACCAGTGGAACAGCTTGCCACCAGAAGTTGTGGGTGCTCCATCAGTGGAGGCTTTTTAGAAGAGACTGGACAGCCCTTTGTCCTGAATGATATAGTGCAGGGGTAGGCAACATTGGCTCTTTTATGACTTGTGGACTTCAATACCCAGAATTCCTGAACCAGCCATGCTGACTCAGGAATTCTGGGAGTTGAAGTCCACAAGTCATAAAAGAGCCAAGATTGCCTATCCCTGGTATAAGGTCTCCTGCTTGAGCAGGGGGTTGGACTAGAAGACCTCCAAGGTCCCTTCCACCTCCCATCAGGGAGAAAATCCATGAGGTCCCTAAGGGTCAACAATGACTTGATCTCCCGTCAACCTCTTCATCGTTGTGATACAATTTCATTAATGACAGACTCCTTCTCTAGACTACGTAGCATAAAAATCACGGTGGCTGTTTGATGGACAGATAAATGAATAAATCATGTCACACAGGACCGTTCCCCATCCTGAGTCTGATGGTAGGAGGAGCAGTTTTAAACATGGTCCCAGATGAACCTGGGAATCCCAGCGTGCCAGCAAACAGTTCATCATTAAACCAGGAAAGAGTTATGGTGGCAGCATCCGTTACAGTCCTGGCTGGCATCTTCCAGGTAAACTTTACAAATGTTCCCCTGTTTTTAGTATTTGAAGCCATGCCAAAGTTGCTATCCATTTCCAAATGCTGTGCTATCATTCTCTTTTTTATCTCAGGTGCATGTCTGTTAGATAGCATCGTGACATTTTCCTGTCCTGTCCTCAACGCAAGCACTAACTACAAGGGCAGAGACAGAGTTGCAGAACCTTTAGTCCAGTGTTTCCCAAACTTGACAATTTTAAGGCATGAGGACTTCAACTCCCAGAATTCCACAGCCAGCGTTGCTGGCTGTGGAATTCTGGGAGTTGAAGTCCACATGCCTTAAAATTGTCAAGTTTGGGAAACACTGCTTTAGTCCTAAGGGCACGTTCAGAAGCAAGGGGGGGGGGAATCCCCAAATCCTCAGGACTATTTTCCTAAATAAATAGTTGTGAGTTGAGGACTGCCTGTATCCCAATTTTGCAAATTCCTTCGTTCCATTGGATCGAAAGAAATTGATTTAAAAAAAGAAATCGAAAAGAAGCTGATTTAAAACAACAACCACCACCACGAGAGAGGACAAAATTATTCACTGTTATTCGCTATTTCAATATTATTTTCATTAGTTAAATAGCAACGGTATATTAAGTAATATCCCACGAATGGAGGAGATATGGAGGAGAAGGAATGGCAGAAGCTGGGGGTGGAGTCAAAAGAGGAATCACCCTAGAATCCCTACGTAGCCACAAATGGACTAGGTCAGTGATGGCGAACCTTTTAGAGACCGAGTGCCCAAAAACTGCCCCCCCGCTTCACCCCCCCTGCCCTGCCCCCACTCTGCCCCCCCATCTCCTGCCCCGCCTGCCTGCAGGGCTACTCACTGCCTCCAAGGCCCGCCGCAGATCACTCAGGCAGCCCAGCAGCGCTATGGTGGTCATGCCCTCTGCCCACGCCCTGCAGCATCAACGGTGCACGATGGGGTATGAGGGCAGAGTCTTGCCTACACTGCCTGGCTGCCATGTCCTTGGCTGCGCTGCTCCGTGTGGGCCACGCTCGGGGGCGCTTCTCCTTCGGGGGGGCTGCTGGAGAGGAGGCAAGGGGGGAGGCGGGTCTAGGGCAACGGCACGTGTGCCCACAGAGAGGGCTCCGAGTGCCACCTCTGGCACCCGTGCCATAGGTTCGCCACCACTGGACTAGGTCCAGGCTCCCTTGGATTCCATTAACCAGTATCTAATTCCAAGCAGGTACTAACCATTAACCGAAAGGTGCTTTTTCAACAGGCAAGTGGACTTTCTTGTTTTTCTTAGAAGACGTTTTGCTTCTCATCCAAGAAGCTTCTTCAGCTCTGACTGGATGGTGGGGAACGGAAGGATGTATATTCCTTCCAGACAGCTGGTCATTTGCCTTCTTTTAGAGCAGTGGTTCTCAACCTTTTTAATGCCGCAACCCCCAACCGGTCATAAGTCGAGGACTATTCAACCGGTCGTAAGTCGAGGACTACTCAACTGGTGCAGCACCGTTTGCAGAATGGGACTTTTGGCGGGCTCAGCAGGCAGAGACAGCCTGGACAATTCCTATTGGCTTTTGAAAGCCAATAGAATTAGACTCTATTCAAGAGAGTCTATTCCAGCGGTTCTCAACCTGTGGGTCGTGACCCCATTTGGGGTCGAACGACCATTTCACGGGGGTCGCCAAACAACGCGATCCGCCATTATTTTGTCAGCTGGCGGCACCGCACATGGGGTGGCACCGCGCACGTGCACTGCACATGTGCGCTGCGCATGGGTGTCGCCGCTGCGCATACGTGCTGCGCTTGGGGCCACCATCGCGCATGTGCGCCGCTCTGCGCATGCGCGGCTCGCCCTTATGACCAGGGTCGCCACAAAAAAAAGGTTGAGAACCACTGGTCTATTCTATTGGCTTTCAAAAGCCAATAGAATAAAAGGGAGTAGCACAGCTAAGGAAAAGGGGGAAAAAATGGCGGACTGCGTTGTTTGGCGACCCCCATGAAATGGTCGTTCGACCCCAAATGGGGTCACGACCCACAGGTTGAGAACCACTGTTTTAGAGCATTGTTGAGGCCATTTGGAGGTTTACCTGTGTCCTCAGGGTCACTTGAGTAGTGCAAATGTGTGTGGAGCCTCTGTCCTGTGTCCCTTCACTGTTGAAGACAGGTGCAGGCTGTTGGGGATGAGTCTGTGTCATCTACATCTCAAACTGAAGCGCAAATGGTTCCTGTGGTCTGCAACGTTTTCTGGAAATCCATTCATCCTCCCGCACCATTCGACGGGACCTAGGGCAGAAAACATCCTGCAGCCAAGAAGGCTGCACTACTCAGGTGACCCCGAGGACACAGGTAAACTCCAAGTAGCCTCAACGACTCGCTAAAAGAATGCAAAGGACCAGCCGTCTGCAAGGAGTATAAATCTTCCTGTTCCCCACCATCCAGTCAGAGCTGAAGAAGCTTCTTGGGTGAAGAGCAAAACATCTTCAAGAAAAGCAAGGAAGTCCAGTTGCCTCTTGACCTGGATGACTGAGAATATCCATAGCACTAACCATTAGTTGAGAAGATCCCACTGTATTGGCTTTTAGTAATAAATCAGCTTAATTGAACCTTTACAGGTGGACCTACCGTTCATACCTGGTACAAAACGATAATTTCTATTCCGAAACAAACGTCCATCATTTAATTTTCAGTTTTTTCCCGAGTAACCCTCAAAGATCCTCATTTCTTCTTCCATCCCTAATGCCATTATTGTTCCGTTCCAGTTAGTCCTGGGTGCCTTTCGCTTCGGCTTCATCGTCATCTATTTGTCTCAGCCACTCATCAGTGGATTTACGACGGCTGCTGCGATACACGTTTTTGTGTCTCAGCTGAAGTTCATTTTTCAGCTACCGGTTGAGCCCTTTAACAAACCACTGGGACTCATCTGGGTGAGTGTTTCAAACCCCAAACCCTGATTTCTCACTTCTCTGATTTGCTATTATGAATTGCTGCTGTTTCTCAAGTACAGGAGTCCTGGACTGACCACAGTTCATTTAGTGACCGTTCAAAATTACAACGGCACTGAAAAAAGTGACTTATGACCGTTTTTCACACTTACGACCGTTGCAGCATCCCCACGATCACGTGATCAAAATTCAGATACTTGGACACTGGCTCATATTTATGACGGTTGCAGTGTCCTGGGGTCATGTGATCCACTTTTGTGACTTTCTGACAAACAAAGTCAACGGGGAATCCGGATTCACTATAACAACTATGTTACTAACGTAACTGCAGTGATTCCCTTCACAACTGTGGCAATAGAGGTCGTAAAATGAGGCAATACTCATTTAACAACTGTCTCGCTTAGCAAGGGACATTTTGGACTCCATTGTTGTCAAAAGCCAAGGGCCACCTGCCATCACAACAAAAGCTTTTTTCCAGTGTAAAATTATTGTATTGATCCGAGCCTTTTCTCGACAAATTTAAATCTAGGGTACTCATTGAAATATAATTGGGAAAGGTAACTGGATCACTAAACTCATTGGTCTTTGACTCAAGATTGCTCTGAATATTTCAGAGAAGTATCCAGATGTACGCCTTGATTTCTAGGGTTCTAATCGAGCCATTAAGGCAGATATGTCAAACACAAGGCCAGGGGGCCGGATGCGGCCCGCAAAGTGGTTTCATGTGGCCCGCAAAGCCATCCTGGAAACAGTGAGGGAACGGCCCCCCACTCCCTTGGCCCTGGCTGAGGCCGGCTGGGAGCCAATGTACAATTTTGTGGTGGCCATCTATGCTGAAATGCATTCAGTCTTAGCTCCACAAGGCCGTCTGGAAACAGCGAGGAACCAGCCCCTGCCGTGTCGGCCCCGTCCCCTGGGTGCATGCTGGGGAGGGGTCCCCCTTTGTGAGGAATGAAGAAATGCACCATCGCCTGGAAGTGGCCAGCAAATGGTCCTCGCCTACTTCACATGTCTGGCTTGATGGGCTCTGCTCTGGTCCCACCCCTTTCTGCCAGAGACCTTCAGATCTGTCCCACTCCTGCCCAGGCCTCCACAGGCACCCTTGACGCGAATGATGTAGAGCTGGCCACGCCCACCCAGTAGGCCACACCCATTCCATCCACGCCCACCCAGTAGGCCACATCCACCCTGGCCACACCCACCCACCCCCCTAAGGGCAACCACAATGCTGATGCGGCCCTCAATGAAATTGAGTTTGACACCCCTGCATTAAGGTCATTTTTTCCCCTAAAGTTCAATTGCGTCCAATTCTCAGAGCCCTACCTGGACAAGTCCGTGCAGTTTTCTTGGCAAGGTTTTTCAGAAGGGGTTTGACATTGCCTCCTTCCTGGGGCTGAGAGAGAGTGACTGGCCCCAGGTCTCCAAAGTGGATTCATGTCGGGACTAAAACTCCCAGTTCCCAGCCTGGTGCCTTAAACACTAATAAGAGAAAAACAAAGTTGGAAGGGATCTTGTAGTCCAGCCCTCTTATTGAAACAGGAACCCTATATCATTTCAGACAAATGGCTGCCCAATCTCTTCTTGAAAATCTCCAGTGTTGGAGGACCCACAACGTCTGGACCAAACCACCTCCCACAACTATACCAAACGGCCAGTATGATCATGATTACTATAGGGCAGTGGTGGCGAACCTGTGGCACGGGTGCCAGAGGCGGCACTCAGAGCCCTCTCTGTGGGCACGCGCGCCCTCGCCCCAGTCCTAGGCCTTCAGCTGGGTTTTATAAACCTTTTCGCCTTAGGCCTCCGCCACCGTGTGTGCAATAAAAAAAAAAAGGTTCAATCAATTTCAACTTCTCGCAGGAAAAAAAAACATCTTGCAAAGTTGGAATTGATTGATTGAACTTTTTAGTCCCACCCAGTCTGCCATTACCACCGCAGCCATGCCCATCCAATGGGTCACACCCACCCAATGGGCCACACCCACCCGGCACTCGACGATGCATAAGTGGATTTTGGGTTGCAGTCTGGGCACTCGGTCTCTAAAAGGTTCTCCATCACTGCTATAGGGTCTAGGCAGCTAGCCTCAGAAGGATGTTGTAATTCTGAAGCTGTATCTAAACATACCCTTAAGCCATGATTGTTTTCAATTATTAATGAGCAGCCACAGTCACTCTCACAGGTCAAAGTATCAAAGTATGCCTTATTTATCCCCGTTTTCCTTTTTTTTTTGAGCAGCTTTATAACAATAATAACAACAATAATAATAAAAATAAAGTTGGAAGGGATCTTGGAGGTCATCTAGTCCAACCCCTTGCTCAGGCAGGAAACCTTATACCATTTCGGACAAATGGCTATCCAGTCTCTTCTTAAAAACTTCCAGTGTTGGAGCATTCACCGCTTCTGGAGGCAGGTTGTTCCACTGGTTAATTGTTCTAACTGTCAGGAAGTTTCTCCTTAGTTCTAGGTTGCTTCTCTCCTTGATTAGTTTCCATCCGTTGCTTCTTGTCCTGCCTTCAGGCGCTTTGGAGAATAGCTTGACTCCCTCTGCTTTGGGGCAGACCCTGAGATACTGGGAGACTGCTATCCTGTCCCCCCTTGTCCTTCTCTTCATTAAACTAGACATACCCAATTCCAGCAGCCATTCCTTACATGTTTTAGCCTCCAGTCCCCTAATCATCTTTCACTTTACAGTTAATTGTTAGAGGCTTGGATGAAACCAACCAACCAACCAATCAAGAATAAACCACGCAGTCACAAACAATTCACTTGTCTCCTGTTTGGCAAAATCGACAAACCATGATCGGTGCCCACCACAAGGCATGATTTTGCACTGATTCTATTTTCAAGCCCCTTTGGGCTAACAGCAACCAACTCCCTTTGCTCTTTAACGTGGCACGTGAGGCTGAACATTGCCTTTATCAAAACACAATTGATCCCGTTCCTTCTTCATTTGCAACTATGTCGTATTAACATCCAGTTTCTTCTTCCTTTTTAACAGACCCTTAAAAGTATATTTGAGCAAATCACCAACACCAACATTGCGGATTTAGTCACTGCACTCATTATCTTAGTCGTTGTGTCAGTGGTCAAGGAACTGAATGACCGGTACAAAGCCAAACTGCCAGTACCAATTCCGATTGAAGTCATTGTGGTAAGAATGCCTCCATTTTTTTTGCAAGCCAAAGTACATTGTAAGTTTTAAAAAAAAACTTTAGATGTTTTGGGTTCTGTTAGAAATTCTTTTTATATATAGCACCACAGATCAAACAAAGTGTACAGTCACCATGTGCTTTACAGCTTAACTGTTTAACTGTAACAGGAAACAAGAAACTCTACTTACCACTAAAGAACATAGAGTATATACCCTAGATCCAAACTTGTAAACACTGCCATCTACTGGCTGAATACTACTGTAGTTGTTGCACAAAAATACATTCCAATAGTGAATTCCAATTTGTTCACATTTAACATTTGTTCAAATAGTGGCATCCTCAGTTGGGGGCAGGTCAAAAAATATCAAGATGGTAGCCACAATCATCTTACTTTTTTAAATGAAGCACATAAGAAAGAAATGAGGCTTCAGTCACGGCCACCATCTTGACTTCTGTGACTTGACTGCCTGTGGAAGTAAAAACAGAATACTTTCCACATCTGGAATTAAGCCACAAGATTATAAATAAACAGTGGGGTCCTTGGTGCTCTCTGAGCTTGGTTGTTTTCTTACAGACATTTCATTTCATGACCCAACTAGGTAACATCATCATTGTTAGAAGGGAGTGGGGTTTGGTCTCTTTTTATATATCCTGTCAGTGTTGGTGTAGGCTGTCGTTCATTGTTAGCTTGTTTGTCTGAGTTGGTCACTTCTTGATTGGATTATTGTTTATTTTTTGATTGTTGGCCTAGTATTAGCATTGGTGTTAATCTCTGCTCATTTGGGTGTTGATTGCTGACAATCAAGGGAGTTTGGATCCTTTTGTTTCCTCTTTGGCTTTTTGATTGTCTCTTTTGATTAGTGTGTAGATGTTGTTTATCTCTATGTGCCTGTTGATGGCTGATTTATCTGAATGCCAAACTTCCAGGAATTGTCTAGCATTTTAGGACTTGGCTTTGTCCAGTGGTGGTGAACCTATGGCACAGGTGCCAAAGGCGGTACTCGGAGCCCTCTCTGAGGGCACACGTGCCGTTGCCCCAGTCTTGCCTCCCCCCCATGACCCTCTCCTTTCCAGCAGCCTCCCTGAAGGAGAATTGCTCCCAAGCGTGGCCCACACGGAGCAGTGCAGCCAAGGACATGGCAGCCAGACAGCGTAGACAAGACTCTGCCCTCCCACCCCATCATGCAGTTGATGCTGCAGGGCGCGGGCAGAGGGTGTGGCTGCCATAGCGCTGCTGGGCTGCCTAGGCGATCTGCGGTGGGCCCTGGAGGCGGGGAGTGGTCCTGTGGGCAGGTGGGATGGGGGATGGGGGCAGAGTGGGGGCGGGGCAGGGGTGGAGCAGGGGCAGGGCCAGTTTTGGGGCACTCAGTATGTAAAAGGTTCGCCATCCGTGGCTTAGTCTATGATCAAGTTTCCAATTGAAACTATGGTTAGCTTTGTCCATGTGTTGAGAGATTAAGGAGTTTTCATCACATCTCCTGATTGCTGGTCGGTTAATATGGCTGTGCTTTGCTAATCTGTCCCTGTCGAGTGGGGTCTGACTCTAGGGCTCAATGTTCAATGTTCATTGATGAGCCGAGGTGGCGCAGCAGTTAGAGTGCAGTACTGCAGGCCACTTTAGCTGACTGTGTTCAGCAGGTCAGCGGTTCAAATCTCACCGGCTCCAGGTTGACTCAGCCTTCCATCCTTCCGGGGTAGGTAAAATGAGGACCCAGATTGTTGGGGGCAATGTAAATATATATATACATTGCTTACTGGTGTACACCACTTAGAGAGTGCTTGCACTTAAAGCGGTATATAAGTCTCATAAATAAATAAATAAAATCTCCGTTTCTTAGCCAAGGGAGCCAACATTGTCCAAAGACATTTTTCGTGATCATGTAGCCGGCATGTCTACACCAAGGCATAGCTAACATTGTTACCTTCCCACTGAAGTGGTATCTATTTATCTAGTTTATCTATTTCTCTACTCGGATTTGCATGCTTTTGAACTGCTTAGGTGGGCAGGAACCGGGACTAGTAACAGGAGCTCACTGCATCATGCAGTACTTGGGTCTCAAACTGCCATCCTTGACAAGTCCAGCGTCTTAACCGCTAGGCGACCACATCCCTGTAGAAGTGTAGGTGCTATGGCCCTGGCCTTAATCAACCCCAGTATTTTCCTGAAGAGTGAAAAATGAGTTTGTTCCTCAATTGGGAGTGCTCTCAATTTCCCACGAATATAAAGAGGAAATGACCCCGTCAGTCCTTACTGTGAAAAACATCATCAATTCAAACTGACAAATCTGGGTTCGGGTTTCAGAAGTGTTTCAAGTATAAAGACAATGAAAACTCGATGGCTTTTCTCCATCATTCATGGTGAAAGGCCAGGGTAAAACTGAACAGGCGTCCAGTCTTTCTTTAAGAACTTGAATTCTGTACAATAAAGTGAAAGTAAATATTGAAATAGCCGCTTGAAAACTTGTAAAGTTTTTTTTTTAAAAAAAAAATCTGTTGTTCTTCTTTCCAGACAGTCATAGCAGCTGGACTATCTTACGGCTTTAATTTCAAAGAGATATTCCAGGTAGATACAGTTGGAACATTAGATATTGGGTAAGTAGACAGTATCTGTGTATATTAATAAAAACAGATAGCTTTGGGGTTTTTTTTCCCCCTTCCTAGTAAATTTAGCCACAATTATAAACTGGAAGAGCTTCCACAGTCCAATTTAAATGCTTTGTAATTGGAATCCACCATATGGGCCATAGGTTTAAGCATACAGGAAGTCAGCCATCCATTCAGTGACCGTTTGAAGTTACAATGATACTGGAAAAAAGTGACTTACGATCGTTTTTCACATTTAGGACTGTTGCAGCATCTCTGTGGTCACGTGATCAAAATCCGGATGCTTGGCCAATGACTCCTATTTACGATGGGTCTCAGTGTCCCAGGGTCACGTGATCTTCTTTTGTGACTTTCTGACAAGCAAAGTCAATGGGGGAAGCCCGACTCACTTCACAGCTGTGTTGCGAACTTAACCATTGCAGGGATTCACTTGAAAACCTTGGCAGGAAAAGTCGTAACATGGGACCAAACTCACTTCATAACTGTCTCGCTTAGCAAACAAAAATTTGGGGCCCAGCTGTGGTCGTTAAGTCGAGGATTACCTGTACACTGAAGCAAGGGGTCATCCATGAGGGGTTGGAGACTGGAGATCCTGTTTTATATTGGCCTGCTTTGTTCTTATCAGGCAGATCAGATCAGATGTAGTGGGCATAGAGCAGGGGTCTTCAAACTTGGCCACTTTTAAGACCTGTGGACTTCAACTCCCAGAATTCCTCAGCCAGCAGAGGAATTCTGGGAGTTGAAGTCCACAAGTCTTAAAGTGGCCAAGTTTGAAGACGCCTGGCATAGAGAGTTCCTGTCACAATGGTGTCCCTGGACGTGTGGGTGCCAAATTGGCAAACTGCTGGACACAGAGTCACAATACAAGTGTCTTGGGTATCTCCGTAAGATGTCACACACACATTTCAGAGAGCCAGGGCTTGGATTACAACATTGCATCTGCCATCTTGTGATTTTGAAACCTTCTGCTGACACCCTTGAATCAATTAAAGAGAATATTTGTAGCTCTGGGTGGATCCGTGGAGTCCCTGGCGTTCTCTAAGCTTGGTGGTTTTCATGCAGACATTTCATTACCCAACTAGGCAACATGACCAGTTTGCACTAATGATGTTACCTAGTTTGGTAATGAAACATCTGCCAGAAAACCACCAAGCTCAGACAGCACCAAGGACATCACACACCCTTGAATCGCTCCCTTGAAGGACTTTTCAGAGTGATTCTCTCCCCATTCTGATGGCGGGACAACTTGCCACAGCCAATTCGTCACAGCCAACTCACCGAGGGACAATTCAACAATTCAATTTCGTTATTTAAAATAATTGAAAAATTATTTTAATGTCTGTCACTCACATTTAATTTTGTCCCTTTTCTGGCCTCCTTTCTTTAATGACTCTATTCCACTCTTCCTTTGATATTAGTCCTACAGCGAGTTGGCCGCGGCAAGTTGTCGTAGACCCTTCTGATGGTGCACTCCAAACAGGCAGTGCTTTGATTGCACCACTGAGTCACCAAGTTTTTAAACTAGGGGTCCCCAACTCCCGGTCCGTGAACTGGCACCGGGCTGTAGCGTGCCAGCAACCGGTCCGCGCAAAAAAGCAAAGCCCCATCTGCGGGAGGTAGGCAGCACACGAAACCACGCATTCTTCGTTCCTTGGAAAAACCTCTCTCCACGGAACTGGTCCCTGGTGCCCAAAACCTCTGTTTTAAACCATGTCCTGCAGAGCCTCCTGGACCCCTAAAGGCAGGGACAAACTACCAGCTAACCAGGACCCAAAGTGTCTTTCTCTAACTTAGCCATCTGTACTGAGTGCTAGGAAAACTACACAGGGTCTCCGTTTTAATGTCCTCCTCTGCCTTCATTCCAGATTTCAGGCTCCAGTTGCCCCAGATATCAAGTATTTCGAACGTTGTATAGGAGACAGCATCTCTATTGCCATTGTCGGCTTCGCTGTTGCCTTTTCAGTGGCTAAAGTTTATTCCATTAAGCACGATTACCCCATAGACGCCAACCAGGTAAGTCTCTAGCGCAGAGATCTCCAACCTTTCTCAGTTGGTGGACCGGAGGGAAAGGGAAAGGGGGAAGCATTTTTTGCACATGCACACACAAACTGGGCCACGAGCACACGCGACGCAAATGGGGCAGGGCTAGCGCCTGCGTGACATTCACTGGCACCGCCTTGTTTTGGTCACGTGGGCACTAGTGATGCCCCGTTTTCATTGTATGGTGCCCCGCTTTTTGCCATGCAGCGTCCCGCTTTTGCCACGTGGTACCCCATTATTGTGACGCAGTGCCCCGTTTTCACTGTGCAGTGCCCCATTTGCGTAGCGGCGATGCTAGCACGAATGGGGGTGAGTGCACGCACATGTGTAGTGGGTCGCGGTAGTAGGCTGCGGCCTACAGATTGGGGATCCCTGCTCTAGCAACTGTCACAACTGTTGTAAGTCGAGGACTACTTCCTGTTACCTTGCAGTGTGTAATTTGTGTGTGTTTTAAAGGAATTAATTGCCTTTGGAATCAGCAACATCTTTGGAGGGGTCTTCAAAGGATTTGCAGCAAGCACTTCTCTATCAAGGTCTGGAGTGCAAGAAAGCACCGGGGGCAAGACACAGGTATCTGGAGATTTAAGGTGTTGCGGTAAATGAATTACCCCCAGTTGTTTTACAGGAAGTGTGTTAACCAAGGGCTTTTGTCCTGCAGATTGCTGGACTCCTGTCAGCTATCATTGTCATGATTGCTATCTTAGCCATTGGCTTTCTCTTGGAACCGCTGCAAAAGGTACTGGCTTTGGGATCTAGTGGATTGGGTTGGATTGGGTTGGCTTGCTACAGGTGGCATCCTTTTCTGTAACTGGTAGTCCTCAACTTATGACCATGATTGACCCCAAATTTCTGTTGCTAAGTGAGACAGTTGTTAAGTGTGCTTTGCGCCCCTTTACGACCTTTCCTGCCACTGTTGTTCAGTGAATCACTGCAATTGTCAAGTTAGTAGAATAGAATAGAATAGAATAGAATAGAATAGAATAGAATAGAATAGAATAGAATAGAATAGAATAGATGGAGTGAGTAGAGTAGAATAATCTATATATAAATAAAAATGTAAATGTTCGTTTGTTCAAAATCTTAAATCTCCAAAGGTTCTTCACCGATTGCTTTGAAATTTTGACACAACGTTCCATTCGAATATGTGCGTGTTTTTATATACCTATATTATATAGATGTCACACCTGTGACAGGTAAAAACATGCTTTTATTGAAAAACAGATAAAAACATACTTTTTTGAAAAACAGTGCCATCTGTTGGACGTAATCTCTATATCTGCACACACAATGGAACAACAAAAAATATTGTATACCCACAAGCATTGTGAAATTAAATATATTACAAACGTGTGCTTTCTCTTTTCTTTCTTGAGCCACAGCAACGCGTGGCTGGGTACAGCTAGTGAAGAATAGAATAGAATAGAATAGAATAGAATAGAATAGAATAGAATAGAATAGAATAGAATGGAATGGAATGGAATGGAATGGAATGGAATGGAATGGAATGATAACTTTATTGTTGTCATTTCAAATGTACACTAATCAGCATGCATTAAAATGAAATTTTGTTGCATTCAGCTCTTAAAGGATCACCACCTCCGATATACACTGCATAAATATAACAAAAATAAATAAATACAGAATGATGCATATACCCACATATATTATATGATGAAGAGAGACAACACAGTCTCGTTCGGGTTATGTATACATGTGCATGGCGAAAAAACCAAAGCTTGTGAATTTACCAGACGGATGGCATGGGGAACAAAGCTATTACAGAATCGGTAGTCCTGCTAGAAATACTTTGAAACCTCCTCCCAGTGGGGAGCAACAGAAACAGACCATAAAGTGGGCATGTGGGATCTCTAACAATGCTTCAAGCTCTAAGCTCTGAGTGCTTATAAGCAGCATCCTGAATACCAGGGAGCGAGCTTCCTATGATCTTCTCAGCTGTCCTCACCACTCTTTGTATGGACTTTCTATCTGAGCAACTGCTGCCCCCAAAGCAGACAGTTCAATGAATCTGTTTTCCCCATTGTCTTGGCATGTCAGAAATTCACAAAAGGGGTTCACAAGACCCCAGGACACTGCAACCATCATAAATATGAACCAGCGCCCAAGCCTCTGAATTTTGATCACGTGACCATGGTCGTAGGTGTTAAAAACGATCATAAGTCTCTTTTTTTAGTGCCATTGCAACTTTGAACTGTCACTAAATGAATTGTTGTAAGTCGAGGACTATCTGTACTCTGAGATACTTCTCTCTCTTTCTCTCGTCTCTCTTTATTTCTTGCATTGTGGGGTGTTTTTTTTTCCCGTTTCCCGTGTCTGTCTTTCAACATGTACGTTATTCTTTCATTGACAGTCAGTCCTTGCAGCTTTGGTTCTGGGCAATTTGAAGGGGATGTTGATGCAGTTCAAAGAGATTGGAATTCTGTGGAAAAAGGACAAGTGTGACTGTGTAAGTGACTCCTCACCCAGCTGTGCAAATAGCGATTCAAACATAAACAATGTCATTGAACATGTCTGAAAGGGAGACCAAAAGCAGGGGAATCTGTCAGCCATTTTGTTCTGCTTTGGTGAAGTTGGTGATTCCCCCCCCACACACATACACTCTGCTCTCATTTTCACGAAAAGTTTATAAAAGGAGCCCTGGTGGCGCAGTGGTTAGAATGCAGTATTGCAGGCTAATTCTGCCCACCGCCAGAAGTTCAATCCTGACCAGCTCAAAGTTGACTCAGCCTTCCATCCTTCCGAGGTTGGTAAAATGAGGCCCCAGATTGCTGGGGGCAATATGCTGACTCTGTAAACCACTTAGAGAGGGCTTTGTAAAGCCCTGTGAAGCAGTATATAAGTCTAAATGTTATTGCTATGCCTCCCTCCCTTTCCTTCCTTCCTTCCTTCCTTCCTTCCTTCCTTCCTTCCTTCCTTCCTTCCTTCCTTCCTCTCTTATTCACTTTCTCATTCTCCTTCCTGGTAGCACAGTGGTTAGAATGCAGTATTGCAGGCTAATTCTGCCCGCTGCCAGGAGTTCAATCCTGACCGGCTCCAGGTTGACTCAGTCTTCCATTCTTCCAAGGTCAGTAAAATGTAAAATGAAGACCCAGATTGTTGGAGGCAATATGCTGACTCTGTAAAGCACTTAGAGAGGGCTGTAAAGCATTGTGAAGCGGTATATAAGTCTTAAGTGCTATTGCTAAAAGGAGTTTCTTAATCATACACTATTTAACTAACCATGCCAAATTAGCTAATGCTAGTAAGTGCTTTCATTCGCAAATAGAATGCACGATTGTGTATTTGGGTGAATATAGAAATAAGAGAAATGGACCCAAAAGAAGGTAACAAAGATCCATGGACCTGAATAAACATGTAACAACAAAGATATCATGGAGGCAAAGCCTATTTTCAAACACAGTCACACTGAACTGAAACTGAGCTGAAAATACATATTTGTGTATTCATGTTGATGGGATGTCTAATGCACAATCTTTAGTGCTCTCTGAGTTTCATTGTTTTCTTGCAGAAGTCTCATTGCCCAAACTGGGCAACATTATCAGCGCAAACCCCACTTCCTTCTAGCACTGATGATGTTACCTAGTTGGGTCATGAAACGTCTGCAAGAAAACCACCAAGGTCAGAGAGCACTACGAACCCTGCATTTCAACTCTAGGCTACAAATATTCTCCTTTATTGGTGTCTAATGGGATATATATATAGTTTTATCAACAGTGTTTCCTTGACATTTCCAGACAGAGCTGGGGAAAGTGTCTGAAAATCTGTAAAACCACTGCAAAACAAGGCTCAAAAAATGAAGCAAAATTGTTGGACAGTAACCTTCCCAGTCGGGAGGAGGGCTGACATAGGGAATTAGCCTGGACTCACTACATAAATACAAGAGGGTGAAGTCTGAGTAGTCCTGAATGCCTTTGAGACTTCTCTGGTCTTTCCCATGCGAAAGCTGCCAGTCGGGGAGATTCCTGTAGTATAGGCAGAGAACAATAAAGTAGCTAGTTTGAACTCTACACTTGTAAGTTTGGTTGTTCGTATCTGATAAAAACAGACCAACATCTGACTTGATACAAGGCAGTGTCTAAAGTTCTGTACATTGTTAAATTCCTTGCATGCCTACTCAGAAAGCAACTACTACGTCTACATGTCAAACAATGATATTGTCATCTATCACGTGAAGTATTAATACCACTCTTCAATGCCTTGGTAAGGCCACACTTGGAATACTGCATCCAGTTTTGGTCACCACGATGTAAAAAAGATGTTGAGACTCTAGAAAGAGTACAGAAAAGAGCAACAAAGATGATTAGGGGACCGGAGGCTAAAACATATAAGGAACGGTTGCTAGAATTGGGTATGTCTAGTTTAACGAAGAGAAGGACAAGGGGGGACATGATAGCAGTATTCCAATATCTCAGGGGCTGCCATAAAGAAGAGCCTTCAGGGGCTTTGTTTTCCAAAGCCCCTGAAGGCAGGACAAGAAGCAACGGGTGGAAACTAATCAAGGAGAGAAGCAACCTAGAACTAAGGAGAAACTTTCTGACAGTGAGAACAATTAATCAGTGGAACAGCCTGCCTCCAGAAGCAGTAAATGCTCCAACACTGGAAGTTTTTAAGAAGAGACTGGACAGCCACTTGTCCGAAATGGTGTAGGGTTCCTGCCCGAGCAGGGGGTTGGACTAGATGACCTCCAAGGTCCCTTCCAACTTTACTACTATTACTATTTATCAGCAATAATTTTTACAAAAAATGTTACATGAACCATCCCTACTATTTCTAGCATAGTTTCTCATATCTTGCTGTTGGTGAGGACCAGAAATTCCTTGCTGGTAATTTTCTCTAGTCAAATATATCAATGGTTTAATGTTTATTTAATGTTTTGTTGTTGTTGTTGTTAGCTTGTCTGGATTGTGACTTTCCTGGCTGCCCTTCTACTGGGACTGGATCTTGGCTTAGCTGCCGGCCTTGGATTTGAGCTCCTGACAGTTGTATTCCGGGTCCAGTTGTAAGTAAATACTTATTTCATTTGTCAGCTCAACTTCCTGAAGTGGAGGAAAGACATAAAGTCATTTCAAGTGGAGTGAAATCATTTAACCACCATATTATGGTCCATTTTCTGTCACAAATACACTACAGACAATATGCAGATCAAATATATGCGCCATATTTTCCTATTTTTCACCTGGACTGATGCTGTAGTATCTCCAAGGAAGTTTCCATGATGCTGTTATCATTTAGTGACCGTCCCAGGTTATGATGGAACCTCTCCCCCCCAAAGGTACTTATGACTCAGATTTAAAATTCCAAAGCTCCCTCAGTCACATGCTTGTATTTGGGCTGCTTAGCAACCAGCTCGCATTTACGGCCATTTGCAATATTCTGTGGTCACATGACCACGATTTGTGTCATCTTTTTTGTGCCAGAAATTGGCGTATACTTCCAGTTTACAGAGGGAAAGAACACCCATTACAAACAAGGGATTCTCTTGTGCTCTTCGCTTAATGACCGTGGCATTTGCTTTATGACCGGCACCTTCGCTTAACAACCACCACAAAAAAAAATTGTCATAAAATAATGACTGGCATAATTTACAGACATAATTCCAAACTCAATTACAGTCCTAAGTCAAAGGCAGAGTCCCTAAAGACCTACACATGCTAAAGATGTAGAGACTGCTAGAGATAGTTGTTGTTGTTCAGTCATTAAATCATGTCCAACTCTTTGCGACCCCATGGAGCACAGCACGCCAGGTCCACCCCTGTCTTCCACTGTCTCCTGGAGTTTGCCCCAATTCCCGTTCATTGCATTGACAACCCTTTTCTAACCATCTCATGCTCTGCTGTCCTCTTCTTCCTTTGCCTTCCATCTTTCCCAACATAAGAGTCTTCTCCCAAGAAGTCCTCCCTCCCCGTTAGGTTATTTTATGAGACTTATATACCGCTTTAAGTGCAAGCACTCTCTAAGCGGTGTACACCAGTAAGCAATGTATATATATATTGCCCCCAACAATCTGGGTCCTCATTTTACCTACCTTGGAAGGATGGAAGGCTGAGTCAACCTGAGCCGGTGAGATTTGAACCGCTGACCTGCTGAACACAGTCAGCTAAAGTGGCCTGCAGTACTGCACTCGAACTGCTGCGCCACCTCGGCTCTTTTATTCATTGTAGTAACACTCATATTTTTTATAACATTCGACCGGAATTCCATCTAAGCATGGTGATCATACAAATATTCTCATATTATTTAGTGCATATACTGTTTTTACTCTAATACTATTTCCAACATTAAAATTCACCCCTTTTCATCCAAGCATATTTATTTAATTTTATTTTCTTTGACATATATGATAATTCCTCCTTTCTTGTTTTATGCTAATATTGTGTATAATGTTTCTAAATTTTACTTTCTCTAGTAATTTTCTATAATCCTATTCTATGTAAACTTCCTAAAGATACATCACATCTATATCCAATTTCCTTAAATTGTTAAACGTCTAAACTCTTTTTCTTGATATATTTAATCCATTAATATTTATAGGAAAGAGCTTAATTACATCTCCCATTTTTAACTTGATCTATTTTTTTTGTTTTTATTTTGTTTTATACTTCTTGTCTCTATAAGTCTGCCTTTTGCTTCTCTTTCTAACCTTTCTCTTTCTTGTAACTTTTGTATTTCTCACTCTCGATCAACTTCATAACTCGATCTTCATCATAACTTTTACTCTCCGGCTGTTCCCTACTTTCTTGTTCTTCTCCTTGTGAAAAGTAACTCTCATAAAAGTCCTGTGCTTTCTCAAGTGTATCTATCTTGTATTTTTTCTCCTGCCAAGTTAAAAGTATGCCTTCAGGTATTAACCAACGAAACTTGACTTTATATTTAATTAATTGTGTCCATTCAACGGTCAGGGTTAGTTGAGTTCCTTTAGGATTGACTAATTTGATCCCCTTGCAGTCCAAGGGGCTCTCAAGAGTCTTCTCCACAATTTGAAAGCATCCATTCCTTGAAAGCATCCATTCTTTGAAAGCATCCATTCTTAAGATGCTCAGCCTTGTGGTCCAAGTCTCACAGCCATACATTGCTACTGGGAAATACATTACTACTGGGAAAAGAAATTACTTCCAGAATATCAATTTTGTAATTCTGTCTCTATTTTCTCGAAGGTAGCACCATTGAATCCAGCAATGAATATTCCCAAATTTTGTAGCTTAAGGGATACTACAGATATAAGCAAAGGCCCGCATCATTATTAGAATAACAGTTGATCCCATTCATTCTGCATTAATCAGCTCGTTTGCCTCTTCTCTTTTCAGTCCAAAATGCACACTTTTGGCTAACGTTGGAAGGAATGACATCTACAGAAACAGAAAAGACTACTCAGATGTAAGAACACCGTATTGTTAATTGCAATAATTTAACACGCACAGTTTTGGCAGTAGAGTGCCTCAAAATTAACAGGTGATATTTTGCTGTCTAGATATATGAGCCAGAAGGAGTGAAAGTTTTCAGGTGCCCATCTCCAATCTTTTTTGCTAATGTTGACTTCTTCAAGGAAAAATTGACTGCTGCGGTAAGTATTGCACAGACCATAATCTTAACAGAAATGATTTCCCATAAAACTTTTAATTTTAAAACCATATATACAGTGGCAGGAAATGTCTCACTTAGCAACAGAAAATTTGGGCTCAATTGTGGTCGTAAGTCGAGGAATACCTGTACAATTAAACACATAACTAGAATCTATTTAAATCAAATCCATGTTTTCCACTTGAAAAAATACAGTAGATTGTACTAAGGTGATTAAAATATATATATAATCAAATATCTGCTAAAACAATGATTCCATATTTCAGGTTGGTTTTAAACCATTGAGGGTGTTACAGAAACGCAACAAAGCTCTAAGGAAAATAAAGAAGATGTTAAAGAAGGGAGAACTTCAAGAAACTCCAGTAAGAATCCTTAATTATTTGAATGATAACCACAAAAATTGTGACCGATCTCTTTCACGTGCACTCTCTCTACATCAGACATGTCAAACACAAGGCCTGGGGGCCGGATGCGGCCCGCAAATTGGTTTCATGTGGCCTGCGAAGCCATCCTGGAAACAGTGAGGGAACGGCCCCCACTGCCTTGGCCCTGGCCCAGGCCGGCCGGGAGCCAATGTACAATTTTGTGGTGGCCATCTATGCTGAAACGCATTCAGTCTTAGCTCCACAAGACGGTCTGGAAACAGTGAGGAACCAGGACAACCTTGAGCAGCAGCCTTGAGGAAGTGGAGCTGGGCTTGGTGCGTGGGTGCTCAAGGGCCAGACTGGGCATTTGACCTCTGCTGCCCAGGGCTCCGGGCAGCCCGCACCATCATCCAGCCCCCCCCCCCCGCATGGCCTGAGAGGAACAGTGAGGTTCTTCCAGTGGACCATGCCTTGGCCTTGCCCCGGTCCCACCCCCTTCTGCCAGAGACCCTCAGATCTGTCCCATTCCTGCCCAGGCCCCCACAGGCCCCCTTGACGCAAACGATGTATAGTTGGCCATGCCCACCCAATAGGCCACACCCACTCCATCCACGCCCACCCAGTAGGCCGCACCCACCTTGGCCACACTCACCCGGCCCCCCGAGGGCAACCGCAATGCTGATGCGGCCCTCAATGAAATTGAGTTTGACATCCCTGCTCTACATCCAAAAGAAGCCATTCAGCCTTCAATTTCAGAACTGGCTGGTCAAGTGTTCCGATTTCTCTTTTTGTGGTTAAGAAGCATTCTGAACAGTTTCCTTCTTTCCTTCTATTTCATTCAGAAAGGTTTTCTTTGTACCGTCACTAATGCGACCGACTCAGATGAAGAGCTGGACAACAACAGGGTTGAAGAACTGAGTCAGCCCATAAATACGAAGGATTTTCCAGTTCTGATAAACTGGAACGCAAGCCTGCCTCCCAACATCAGAGTTCCGAGAATTGATGTCCATAGCGTCATTCTTGATTTTTCAGCAGTGTCCTTTCTGGATGTTTCAGCTATGAGAATCATCGGAGAGGTAAAATTGTGCTGTGAGCTGCGCATAGGTGTCAGGAAGGGCATCCGGCTAGTAAGTGCTCAGCTCCTCTCAGTCACCCAGACTCCACCCCAATGCAAGGGTTTTTAAAAGAATATAAAGATTGAGTTCACTCAGGATGAACTGCTCATGGATCCTTGTGTGTGTGTGTGTGTGTCTCTGTATGTGTGTGTGTATTTGTGTGTGTGTGTATGTACTTGTGTGTATGAGTGAACTTAATCTTTACAGAACAGAGTTGGAAAGGACCTTGGAGGTCATCCACTCCAACCCCCTGCTCAAGCAGGAGATCCTATAGTACCCGTGGTGGCGAACCTATGGCACATGTGCCAGAGGCGGCACTCAGAGCCCTCTCTGTGGGCACCTGTGCCGTCACCCCAATCCTAGGCCTTCAGCTGAGTTTTATAAACCCTTTTCGCTTTAGGCCTCTGCCACCGTGTGCAAAAAAAAAAAGGTTCAATTAATCAATTTCAACTTCTCGGGGGAAAGAAAAGGATCTCGCAAAGTTGAAATTGATTGATTGAACTTTTTAGTCCCACCCAGTCTGCCATTACCACCGCAGCCACGCCCACCCAATGGGTCATACCCACCCCCTGAGCCACGCCCACCCGGCACCCGATGATACATAAATGGGTTTTGGGTTGCAGTTTGGGCACTCAGTCTCTAAAAGGTTCGCCATCACTGTGCTATACCATTCCAGAAAAATGATTATCCAATCTCTTCTTAAAAAATCTCCAGTGATGAAGCACCCACAACTTCTGGAGACAACTCAACGTAAGGAAACAAGATCTGAGCTTGTTTCTCTCAAAGTTTAGCCTTTCTAATCCCAGACTACATAGAAATAAAATACAATTCACAGTTACTCATTTGTTGCTAATCACAGCGATAGCAGACAGAACTGCAAGAATGTTATGCCGGTGGCTATTATTATATCTATATAGTTATTATTCTGCTATTATCGTATTCTAAATTATTGTACACGCCTTTGTCTGCCTACAATTAAATATCACCCATTTCTCCTTTGAACAGACTTTAAGAGAATTCATCCGGGTTGATGTTGAAGTTTATATTGTGGGCGCACATGGTAAGGCTCTTTCTTAGTGACTGTTTTGATCTCCTTATCGATGTCCATGTAAAACAATACTGTGTGTGTGTGTGTGTGTGTGTGTGTGTGTCTGTAAATTTAGATTTTGCTGACAAAAGAGTTACAGGGAGACTAGTATAGCTATTTCAAGCTATTTAGCTCTCATCAGCTAGCCATACCCTTCTGAGATTCAAACCTGGGCTGCTTGCATGTTAGGCAGCTATATTAACCTCTAGGCCACGGGTTCTCCTCACTTCTGTCAGCTGAACCAGGGAGGATACATAGTAATTGGGTGTGTATGTGTGTGTGTATAGTATATACATATACATATACGCATACACATACGTATACGTATATGTAGTGTATAAGTGTGTGTGTGTGTATACATATATACACACACATACATACACAAACTTATATATTTATATTTTATATATTTATATTTTAAAAGCTGCTTTTAAAAGAAGGAAATAATTGCACTCCTAATGTTAGAAAGTGCATTCCTGCAAATGTGATACTGAACACAAAATATGTGGAACAAATCAAATGATACAGATAGTCCTTCATTTACGACCACACGAGTACAAAATTTCCATGGCCAGACAAAACAGTGGTTAAGATGAGTTTTGCCCCATCTTATGATCTTTCTTGCCACAGTTGTTAAGTTAATAACACGGTTGTTAAGTGAAATCTGGCTTCCCCCATTGACTTTGCCTGTCAGAAGTTTGTGAAAAGGGATCACATGAGCCTGAGACACGGCAACCGTCATAAAATATGAACCTGTGGCCAAGCCTCTGAATTTTGATCATGTGACCACAGAGATGCTGTAATGGTTATAAGTGTAAAAAATGGTCATAAGTAACTTTTTTCAGTGCCCTTACAACTTCAAACAGTCACTAAATGAATTGTTGTGAGTCAGGGATTATCTGTGTTGTTTAAAACTCAGTCACATCGTTTTCTAGGCCTGTAATTCTGTTTCTCTTTTTCCCTCTTCCCTCTTTGTTTTTCCTTCCCTTCCCCCCCCCAATCTACCCCTACACACACACACACACACACACACACAAAGATGGTCTCCTGGAGAAGCTACAGAGATGTGGATTTTTTGATGACGAAATTAAGCCCTCCATATTTTTCCTGACCATTCATGACGCAATTTTATACATATTGATGAAGGAGGAAACGATCACCCGCTTATCAAAATTAGAAGCCATCACGGTGAGACTGTTCATCCCTATAGTTCAAAAGCAGAATTTGGATCCTACCGTTTTCAGAATGTAAAAACAAAAACATCATTGAAGGATGAATGGAACTCGGCAACCAAAAATTTTCATGGCAATGAGAACATATTGGGGTTTCTCTTTTCCACTTAGATGTCCCAAAGGTGCTTTTTCCAAGAGGCAATTGGACTTTCTTGTTTTTCTTTGAAGACATTTCGCTTCTCATCCCAGAAGCTTCTTCAGCTCTGACTGGATGGTGGGGAAAGTCCCCTTTAACACTGGTTGGGATTAAAAGCACAATCTTGAAAATTGTAAGAGTAAATTCCCAGGCAGTGTTAAAGCAAGCCAATCAAAGCAGCAGTGTCTTCTTTAAATGTTCCCTTCTGTTAGAAATTCTGTTTATATATAGCACCACAGCTCAAACAAAGTGTACAGTCACCATGTGCTTTACTGCTTAACTGTAACAGGAAACAGGAAACTCTACTTATGACGAAAGAACATAGAGTATATACCAGTGGTGGCGAACCTATGGCACGGGTGCCAGAGGCGGCACTCAGAGCCCTCTCTGTGGGCACGCGCGCCGTTGCCCCAGTCCTAGGCCTTCAGTTGGGTTTTATAAAACCTTTTCGCTTTAGGCCTCCGCCGCCGTGTGCAAAAAAAAAAAAAAAGGTTTAATCAATCAGTCAATTTCAACTTCTCACAGGAAAAAAAAAGATCTTGCATAGTTGGAATTGATTGAACTTTTTAGTCCCACCCAGTCTGCTGTTACCACTGCAGCCACGCCCACCCAATGGGCCACGCTCACCCGGCACCCGACGATGCATAAGTGGGTTTTGGGTTGCAGTTTGGGCACTCGGTCTCTAAAAGGTTCGCCATCACTGGTATATACCATAGATCCAAAATTGTAAACACTGCCATCTACTGGCTGAATACTACTGTAGTTGTTGCACAAAAATACATTCCAACAATGAATTCCAACCCCTTTTTATGGCCCACATGTGTGGGTTAGATTGCCTCTTCTCACACCCACTGAATTGTTCCTTTACTGCCTGCTTCCTGCAGATGTCTACGACCATGGACTAAAACAGTGATGGCGAACCTTTTAGAGACCGAGTGCCCAAACTGCAACCCAAAACCCACTTATGCATCGTCCAGTGCCGGGTGGGTGTGGCCCATTGGCTGGGTATGGCCCATTGGCTCAATTTCAACTTTGCAAGATCTTTTTTTTTCTCGCAAGATTTTGAAATTGACTGATTGAACCTATTTTTATTTTTTTTTGCACACGGCTGCGGAGGCCTAAAGCGAAAAGGTTTTATAAAACCCAGCTGAAGGCCTAGGACTGGGGCGACGGCGTGTGTGCCCACAGAGAGGGCTCTGAGTGCCGCCTCTGGCACCCGTGCCATAGGTTCGCCACCACTGGACTAAAACATGAGTGTTTGTAGGGTACAATGAAAAAAGTCCAAAGGGGGCGACATTGTGTCGCGTTCTGCTCTTTTTTCATGTGGCTGCCATCTTAATTTTGTGGACCATAATTTACGGATCTCCCTAGACCAATTATTTCATATAACCTAGTTTGTGAACATAGGTACTCGAACTAAGATTGCTGTAGCTACAAATCAACAGATATTTTTTTTTAAATTAAAATAAGGGAAACCCATTGTTAACAGCGGAATGTTTATTCCATTACAGGATAATCAAAACAACAATCACTATATAATTAACACGAGTGGAGGACTACGCAATCGGGACCTAACGGTAAGGCTCTCTTCCCCATCTTGAATGGGATCAATAAAATTGAAAGTCTATAAGAGTCTCTTGAATGTAGCTCTCCTAGAACAGGGGTCCCCAACCCTCTGCTGTGGCCCATTGCCAGGACTTGAGCAGTTTGGAACCAGGCCATGGAAGTGTGGGGGGGACGAGCGCGTGCACACATCCCCACTTACGCAAGCAGCAGGCGTGCAGAACCATCCCCTCTTCCCCCTGCCAGTCCGTAAATCCCGAAAGATTGGGGAACTCTGTCCTAAAAGGCACGAGGCAGCTGAATGTTGATGAGAAGGAAAGTAGATCACAAGGACTCCTAATTACAAATATTTTTCATTTTAAACATGCTGAGGCAAATTCCCAGTTTCTCATTGCTAAATACAGTTAGTTCTCGATTTATGTACACAACTGAGCTCAAAATTTGTGGCTAAGCAAGACGTCTGCTAAAAGTAAAGTTTTGCTCCATTTTATGACCGTTATTAAGTTCAGTTAGTAACACAGCTGTTAAGGAAGTCTTCCCCATTGACCTCGCTTGTCAGATGATCGCAAAAGGGGATCCCACGACCCCGGGACAGTGCAACCGTCATAAATACGAGTCAGTTGTCGAGTATCTGAATTTTGTCTTTCGCAAGCTTGAAAGACAGTCGTACGTCGCTTTTTTCAGCGCTCTTGTAACTTTGAACGGTCACTAAATGAACTATTGTTCAATCGAGGACTGCCTGCACGTTTTTTTCTGGATCCAATTCCACTTTTGGTGACCACGTCTGAGGACCTTATCAGGCATAACCGCTTTTTGGGCAACTCTACAAAAGTGACTTGCTGTTCGTTGACTTCCTAAATCTTTGTTTCTTTCGTTCCCACAGGAATCAATAGAAACGAGAATGTAAAAGAACCGCCCAATCTTGAAACAACTGATAAAAGGAGATAAAATGTTGGTTCTCCAACAGGATCCCACATTGAATGAGGACAGAGGTGAGGGCCTGTCCCTCTTGTAAGGACATTAAGTCACATACACAAACATGTATGTACAAAAGAAGGTGGGCCTTCAACTACACGCCATGCCTGACTTCCGGCAGATTTAATTCCTTTCACGGATGCTTCAGCATCATAGGCAACCATTTTTTGCCTCTTAAAACTTTTTTTTTTTAACATCTTGTTTTGTTTTTCATGGTTTCTTCAAAAAAATGTTTGGGGTGTTTTTTTATTTGAACTTTTTTAAAAAATAAAATTAAAACAGATTAAAAAAAAAAGGAAGCACTTAACCAGGCTATCCCTGTATATGAGTGTGTAGATCGCATGTTGTGTGAAAATGCTGATCTCAAAGAGCACTTGGTTTATGCAGTCCCCCAAAGATGAAATATCCATTTCGTTGTATATTCCTCTACTATGCAAATATGTATATACAATATGTGTAAATAATTCCGTTTGTCGGTTGAAGATTGTACATTTCCACGTTGTAAATTGTTTATAGGCTTCGATATATTTTTTTCATCGTTTTTAATACTTTGTATTTTGTTATGTAAATATTGCTTCCATAGAAGTTTTTGGGTTTGTTTTTTTTTTTAAGCAAAGGCTATAAACGAAAGGCCTTTATAATTTATAACCACAATCAGGACTAGAATTTCCCATTTCTGAGCAAGGTGGGACTCGCACTCGGTTTAAAGACCTTTTTTATCACACTAATTAGGCGAATCGCTGAAGTTAAGTAAAACCTGTGGTTGTTAAATGAGTGTAACTTCCCCCCCCCCATTGATTTTGCTTCTCGGAAGAGCTCAATTTTTGATCACGTGATCTTGGGGCTGCTGTGACGGTCGCTAAGTGCAAGACTCGGTTGTAAGTTAATTTGTTTGTAACTTTGAACAGACGCTAAACGGATGTCAACTGAAGACTACCTCTGACTTGCTGTTTATTTGAGCAAAATGAAAACCCTAAAAAAATAAAATCCTCTTTTAAAGAATGCTTTAAGGTCTGTAGATCTGTGGCATTTTAAAACCAACGAGAAAAACTCAACGGCCTTTTAATGTTAGGAATGGCCCGTGATTGATAAAAGAAGTCTCTCTCCGATGGAATTTGAATTTGATTCCTAGTGTTTACCTCATTCACGTAATTTTAAAATCCGAATTGTGCTTGAAATCTAAAAATTAATGTTACCTATCCAATCACAGTGGATACCTTTCTCTGATATGCTTGATTTTTAATGCAATATTCGGTAAGCAAAAAATAAAGCATATTTGTTTTTAAAAAATGCTGCATTATATATCTGTGTGCTTAAACCAACGGTTCTCAACCTGTGGGTCAGGACCCCATTTGGGGTCGAACGACCATTTCACGGGGGTCGCCAAACAACCCAGTCCGCCATTTTTTTCTCCTTTTCCTTAGCTGTGCTACTCCCTTTTATTCTATTGGCTTTTGAAAGCCAATACAATAGACTCTCTCGAATAGAGTCTAATTCTATTGGCTTTCAAAAGCCAATAGGAATTGTCCAGGCTGTCTCTGCCCTGCTGAGCCCGCCAAAAGTCCCATTCTGCAAACGGTGCTGCACCAGTTGAGTAGTCCTCGACTTACGATCGGTTGAGTAGTCCTCGACTTACGACCGGTTCGGGTCGCGGCATTAAAAAGGTTGAGAACCACTGGCTTAAACAGTGTGGTCCTTATTCGTAAAATGTCTCCCAGCAACTAGTACTAGCCTAACTCCTCATATGTTTACAAGGCAATCTTACACATCACAAGTTCTCCAAGATGGCAACACTATACTTTACCAATAAAAGAAAATACTCAAATTAGCCACCATCGCTGCTGGATACTTTCCAATGATACATGCATTTTTGTGACCCTCTATTACAGTGGTTCTCAACCTGTGGGTTGGGACCCCATTTGGGGTCGAACGACCATTTCATGGGGGTCGCCAAACAACGCAGTCCGCCATTTTTTTCCCCTTTTCCTTAGCTGTGCTACTCCCTTTTATTCTATTGGCTTTTGAAAGCCAATAGAATAGACTCTTTGAATAGAGTCTAATTCTATTGGCTTTCAAAGCCAATAGGAATTGTCCAGGCTGTCTCTGCCCTGCTGAGCCCGCCAAAAGTCCCATTCTGCAAACGGTGCTGCACCAGTTGAGTCGTCCTCGACTTACGACCGGTTGGGGGTCGCGGCATTAAAAAGGTTGAGAACCACTGCTCTATTAAATCAGATCAGATAATAAATGTGCTGTGATTCATGGCTGGCTTTAACTCACAGGAACAGCCATCTGTTAATCTCCAGGTTTTTCTCTCTGCTTTAACACTACTCTTCCTTGAGCCACACAAGCCTAATCCACTGTAAAACCAAAAATAACGCCAGTGTTTGAATATAATAAGTTGCTTCGGTGCTTGGTGAAATATAAATACTGTGCATTGAATAGAGGCAAAAGACAATTTTAACTTCACGCTGCCCTTATTTTCAGAATCAATCAAAGCCTTCTCCTTAGAAAAAAAACCTCATTTTTCCAGCTTGAAGAAGAATAATAAAGAAAATCAAATCATTTCTCTTTACTCCTCAGCCCACCCCAATCTCACGTAAAAGAGCAAGCAGTTTTGGACAATAAATTTAATTATACACGGGTTGACACACAAAAAAAGTATCACAACGAAACTATCCAGATTTAACCAAAAATACTTTAAAGTGGTACAGTAAGTGTGGTTGTCGGGAGGCCTTTATAAACGTTTTATAACCTCTGGGACAAGCCAGTCAGACTAGGGATACAAAAATCTTTTTAAAACGGTGCTGTCTGCTACACAGCCACTTAGCTTACAGGGTACCAGGTGTCAAGAATCCTATAACCAAAGTTTTCTTTTTTAAAAAACAAAAATATTTAAGCTTTAAATCCCCCCGAGAGCTTTACAGTCGGAAATTACCTTTTTTTTTTTCTTCTTCAAGAAACAAAGCAAAAAACAGAAAAGAGAGCTCCTTAAACAGTCGGATTTACGAAAAGGCTTCTGCTTAGAACACGTTATCCTTCGATCGTGTTTTAGTTCCAATCGTTAACGACTATCATTGATAGTATGGCCTGTATCTGGCTTGGTCGGGGTGGTGGGGTCCCGGAAGTGGCGCTTGAGAAGGCGGGCCTTGCATTCGCGGGGGCGGGGGCGGCCCCCTCGGAGCCGGCCATATGCCTGGGCTCATCCCCCCGGGCTGAGTGAACGGTGGGCTGAGAGTTCCTTGGTCTTCGCTGAACTTCTGCAGAGCGTTCGGGTTGTAATGATGAGGAGGGGGTGCATTGACGTTGACGGGGGGCCCGCCGTGCTGGGGCGGCGGCGGCCCAGGGGGAGGGTGGTTCATGTAAGGAGGAAGCTGCGCAATGATGTGTCCAGGAGGCGGGGTGATAGGGGGAGGAGCCGAGGTCATGGGAGGGGGCGGGGCTTGGCTGTAAACCAGGTGGGGGGTACCTGCCCCCTGGGGAGGGTGCTGCATCGGGTGGTTGATGGGGGGCGGGGGAGGAGGGGGCGGGGCGTAGTGCTGCTGGGGGGGCATGATATGGTGTGGGTGGGACACCACGGGCTGGCCCTGATATTCGGGGTGGTGGTGAGCTGGGCCTGGGCCCGGCGGGGGCGGCTCGCGAGTGCCGGAGCTCGAATCGTCCTGGATAGGGACGGTGATGAGGTTGCTGTGCTTCCGGGTGGAGATGCGGAAGGTGTCCTGGTTGACGGGGCGAGGGGGAGGCGGCACCATGGACATCTCGGCGGGGGAGGCCCGGATGTCCTCGTGGGGCTGGTTGTAATGCTCGTGGGACACATGCTGCAGCGGCGGCGGGGGCGGCATCAGGAGGTGCTGCTTCGGCGGGAGGTGGCTCAGGTGATGCTTCTCGGGCGGCAGGATGAACCGCTCCGGGATTTCCGCTGGAGGAGGAGCAATAGGAGTGTGGACGGGCTCGAGAGGAGGACGCGCCACCGGCTTGCCGGCTCTCATGTGCCGGTGGTTGATGTGAGCCTGGAGGTCCCTCTGAGATAGGTAGGTTCTCTTGCAGCCCTGCACGATGCTGCACATGAACAGAGAGCCACGAAGGCACTGCTCAATTCGCTGCACCGGCTCGTTGCAGCTGGATCAGAGAAAGAAAGAAAGAAAGAATGGGGTTGGCGGACACCGCTGTTACTCAAACCAAAACAGAGGGGACAGCACAGTTCTCGACTTACAACCGCAGCTGGGAGCAGAATTTCCGTTGCTATGCAAGGAGGGTGTTGAGTGAGCCGTGCTTGATTTTACGCCTATTTTTGGCCACCGTGAATTGCTGCAGTTAAGTGAAGCATGCAGGCATTACATCAATCCCGTCCCACTCCCCCCCACTCACTTTGCTAGTGGGAAGCTAGCTGGGAGGGTTGTAAATGGCGATCACATGACCCCAGAATGCTCTAAATCAGTGGTTCTCAACCTTTCTAATGCCGCGACCCCATAATACAGTTCCCCATGTTGTGGTGACCCCCGACCACTTATACATCACCGGGTGCCAGTGGAGTGGCCAAAGAAAAGGGGAAAAAAATGGCGGACAGCCTTGTTTGGCGACCCCCGTGAAATGGTCGTTCGACCCCAAATGGGGTCCCGACCCACAAGTTGAGAACCACTGCTCTAAATGGTTGCCAAGGGCCCAAACTTTGATCATGTAATTGGGGATGCTGTGACAGCTTCAGTGTGACAACCGTTTTTTTTTTTCTCACAGTGACGCTGTAACTTTGAACTGTTGCTAAATAAAACAGTTGTGAGGACCGTTTTTTTTCCCCCTCACAGTGACCAGTTTTTTTCTCTCAGTGATGCTCTAACTTTGAACTGTTGCTAAATGAATGGTTGTAAGGACCATTTTTTTCCCTCGCTGTGACACTATAACTTTGAACTGTTGCTAAATGAACGGTTGTGAGGACCAGTTTTTTTTTCCTCACAGTGATGCTGTAACTTTGAACAGTTGCTAAATGAACGGTTGTTAAGTCAAGGATTCCCTGTATATGGGTAATCCTCATCTTACAACAATTCGCTTAATGACCGTTTAAAATTACAACGGCACTGAAAAATGTGATTTATAAGCGTTTTTCATACTTACAACCATTGAATTATCCCTGTGGTCATGTGATCAGAATTCAGATGCTGGGCAACTGGTTCATACTTATGATGGTCGCAGTGTCCCGGGGAGGTCATGTGATCCCCTTTTGCCATTTTCTGACAGGCAAAGTCAGTGGGGTTAGCCAGACTCGCTTAACAACCGGGTTACTAACTTACCAACTGCAGTGATTCACTTAACGATGGTGGCAAAAAAGGTTGTAAGATGGGGCAAATATCTCACTGAACAACAGAAATTTTGGGCTCCATTGTAGTTGCAAGTTGAGGACCGCCTATATTCTTCAAGTACAATTATTGTATTCTGTGTTGGCTCTTGGTTTTGAGTTGGAGTTTGCACACTGAGCTGACGGAGATGTAGGACGATACCAAGTTTCTCCGAAAAGAAGTCCAGGTCTTGTATTAATTTTTGCTCCAAAAACACACCTTAGGTCTTATTTTCGGATTAGGTCTTATATTCAGGGAAATACGGCACTAAATGCGTCCATCTGGCTGATGATCTTAACTGGGGCTTATTTTTGGGGTGGGCTTATCTTACAAGCATCCTGAAAAATCATGCTAGGGCTTGTTTTCCAGCTGGGTCTTATTTTGGGGAAAACACAGTAATAAACAATGGATTTTATCTGGAATTCCCTAATGCCACTGGGTCTAATGAACCACAGGCTGATTATTATATTCTGATCATTTTTCTGCTATAGCGTGCTGTAGAGTGGAAGTCTCACGGCTGTCAGCTAACCCTAAAATGAGGATTTCTTTGCAGGCGTTCAGTGCCATCCAAACACAGAGCAAATGTGATCCAATCACAAACGTCTTTTCTTCTCGGCTCCAAAAGAGAGACGATTCGGGCCTCAAAATGGAGTCGAGTACAAAGGCGTACTTTATTTAATGTTACACATTCTAATGGCTTCCAGACTGGTTTTTGCTCAAAATTGGAGGAATAAAGGAATTCCAACAGAAGAAGAGATCCTGTATAAAATCCTTTCATGTGCTGAGATGGACAGGCTTACAATGATTATGAAGGACAAGACAGAACACGAACACTTCGAAATCTGGGACAAATGTTGGTATGAATTAAGGAGAACTGCTCGGATCTCAAGTTAATGATAGGATTGATATATATATATATATATATATATATATATATATATATATATATATATATATATATATATATATATGATTTGTATGTAGGTCTTTGGTTGTTCGGGTTTTCTCCCGCATAAAATTGGAAGTGTCTTGGCGACGTTTCGACGGAGTCCCATTCGTCATCTTCAGGCTGTGTTTTCAGCTTCGCTTCGAGCAGCAATTCTTGCTGCTCGAAGCACGAAGCTGAAAACACCAGCCTGAAGATGACGAATGGGACTCCGTCGAAACGTCGCCAAGACACTTCCAATTTTACGCGGGAGAAAACCCGAACAACCAAAGACCTACATATATATATATATAACTGTACATATAATTGTATATTTAATTGTATTACATAGAAGGATGAGGCTTATATAGACATTAAGAATGATGTATTAAATTTTTGTACCACGAGAAGCAAACTGTTAGGAATACTTACTCTGGAATGTCACGCTTGTCCAGTTTTGTTTTAATTGTATTACAAATAAAAAACTTTTTTAAAAAAATGGAGTCGAGTAAAGATCAGGAATAAATGACAGATTATCAGCTACCCACAAAAACACCCTTTGAGAAAACTTACCCCGGACACATCTTGTCCGCTTTCTTCTCGTGTAAGAGCGCACACTCGTAGCAGAAAACGTGTTTGCAGGGTATCTATTAAAAAACAACACAAAAATAGACAATTCTTTTAATTGCTTCAGGGAATGAATGAAGGAATGGATGAACTTTGCTAAATCTGCCCTTTAAAACAGGACAGTATTTTCTATTCTTATTTTACATTTCGATTTTACATTCAAATATTTTATTTATACACACGCACACAGATTGTTTAGCAACTGAGGAGCAATTAATGAATATCAACTAATAATTCCAAAAGAAACAAAGTGACCTGGAAATAAAAATACCTGTGCCTGAATTGTTCAAAGGACTAGGACAAGGGTCTTCAACCTTGGCAACTTTAAGACTTGTGGACTTCAACTCCCAGAATTCCTGAGCCAACCTGGCTCAGCTTGGAAACCTCTCCCTTTCCCCTCAGCACAGCTGGCTCAGGAATTCTGGGAGTTGAAGTCCGCGAGTCATCAAAGGGCCAGGTTTGAAGACCCCTGGACTAGGACAATGAAAATATATTTATATATTATTTGACTGCTTTTCTCTCTCCCTCTGCTGGACATTCAAAGGTTATACAAAACCTTTTACTCTTGAAATGTATATATAATGAATGGCAGAGAAAAAGGCTGGACGGACTATAGCAGACATCCTTTAAAAAGTAGTATTGGGATGATTTTTGGGTCATTTTGACCTATCTATCTATCTATCTATCTATCTATCTATCTATCTATCTATCTATCTATCTATCTATCTATATCTATATCTATATCTATATCTATCTATCATCTATCAATATCTATCATCTATCATGAGCCGAGGTGGCACAGCAGTTAGAGTGCAGTACTGCAGGCCACTTTAGCTGACGGTGTTCAGCAGGTCAGCGGTTCAAATCTCACCGGCTCAAGGTTGACTCAGCCTTCCATCCTTCCGGGGTAGGTAAAATGAGGACCCAGATTGTTGGGGGCAATGTAAATATATATATACATTGCTTACTGGTGTACACCGCTTAGAGAGTGCTTGCACTTAAAGCGGTATATAAGTCTCATAAATAAATAAATAAATCTATCTATCAATCTCTATCTATGTATCTATCATCTATCTATCTATCTATCATCTATATCTATCTATGTATCTATCATCTATGTATCAATCATCTATCATCTATCTATCATCTATCTATCATCTATCTATTATCATCTATCTATATCTATCTATCATCTATCTAACTATCATCTATATCTATCTATGTATCTAACATCTATCTATCCATCCATCCATCCATCCATCCATCCATCCATCTATCTATCTATCTATCTATCTATCTATCTATCTATCTATCTATCAGGAGTATGATGGAAGGCATCAAATCCTTTGACTTACCATGCGCCCGTACATTTTAATGGGTAACCCACATTTGTCACAGAAATGAACTGGAGTGTCATCCTTCTCTCCAAGTAGATTTAGCTACCAAAATACAAATATTGTGTTTCATTAGCTGATCGTCATCCTGTACTTAGCGAACGCATCTTTAGAAAACCCCGATTTTTATTAAAACTTTTCAGCTTTTACCAATTTGATTAGGTTCTCGAAATATAAAATACAAAGACAAATGAAATGAAACAAGAAAAAGGGAGGAAAAAAGGGGAGAGGAAAAAGTGTAAAAGGGGGAAGATTAAAGAAAAGCATTGTTTTTGTGCTCTTTGTAGCGCAGAAAAAAAAACAAAAAACAACAACATTTCGGGGTCAACTTTCTATAGTAATGTATAGTAGCCATTTCTGTAACTCGGTTTTCTTAAAATTTTCAAAAGCATTTTGTTAGATCGCTATTGCACATTTATTAACACACAGTTCCCACTGTTTTAAAAAAAAAGGGAGCGAACTCCTGGTGGAAACACCTGAATTTTTATAAGCAAGCTAACATGTTATTTAGTGTTGAGTCAATTCCCATACCTTGAAGTCCCAGAAGAGGAGCCCAGGGAATCTTCGCTGGTTGCTAAACACGTCAGCACCTTTGCACTCATATCGTTCTTCATCGTTGTAATCAAACTCTTATGGAAAACAAAAGTCCAAACAACATTTTCGGCGTTCGGTCTCACCCTAATAGGTAAAATTCTAGCCTAAAAATGAATTAGAACAGTGGTTCTCCACCTGTGAGTTGGGACCCCATTTGGGGTCGAACGACCATTTCACGGGGGTCGCCAAACAATGCAGTCCACCATTTTCCCCCCTTTTCCTTAGCTGTGCTTGAAGAGAGTCTCATTCTATTGGCTTTCAAAAGCCAATAGGAATTGTCCAGGCTGTCTCTGCCCTGCTGAGCCCGCCAAAAGTCCCGTTCTGCAAACGGTGCTGCACCAGTTGAGTAGTCCTCGACTTACGACTGGTTGGGGGTTGTGACATTAAAAAGGTTGAGAACCACTGAATTAGAATTTCACAATCTAACTGGAAGTCAGAATGGCACAGTTAATTTGGATAAATACACCTGTCCAGGCTGACTTGGATTCTATCGCTCCCTGCAATATCAATTCCAATATAACTGAAATGTTTTCTCCATAATCAAAATACACGCTTGGATATTATTCATCATCCATATTGGAAATGACAGGGTACAAAGAGGCCATGTAAAAGACTAATGCCAACAGTACTTGAAAGATGGAACGTAAGTGCAGTTAGTCCTCATTTAGCAACCGCAATTAGGACCGGCCGTTAAGGGAAGCAGTTGCTAAATGAAACCAATTGCGGTTATCTTACTTCTGATTTTCTTTGCTTGCAAACCTGCAAATTTTATACATGCGAGGGCTGATTGCAAAGATACTTTTTCATCATCCTCTTAACACTCACCAAAGGAGTCAGTCACAAACTGGAATTAAGGAGAAACTTCCTGACAGTGAGGACAATCAACCAGTGGAACAGCTTGCCACCAGAAGTTGTGAGTGCTCCATCACTGGAGATTTTCAAGAGACTGGACATTCACCTGTCTGAGATGGTGTAGGTTCTCCTGCTTGAGCAGGGGGCTGGACTAGAAGACCGCCAGGGTCCCTTCCAGCTATATTCTATTCTATCATTCTAAATGACTCAAGACCTACAAGAGTGGCCAAAATTGTGGACACCTTTTGGGAAAAGTGTATTTTTGAGTTTTGATGGCTAATAACATCACTTTTTTTGGGGGGGGGGAGTAGCACCATAAAATTATATATCAATGGAAAGATAATTTAATCAAGAACGTAATGCAACATAGTTTGTTCAATTATCTGTACTGTATTCTGTGAAACGTTATAACCAAATAACCAGAAAAAGGAAGCACAACTTGCTTAAGTTGATCTCAGGTAGCTTTCCTTCATCTGATGGTAGCCAATGAGCGCGAGTGTTTAGAAAGCCAATCAGGTGTCCTCTTGTTGTGGCAATGAGCCAATCAGATCACAGGAGATTCAGTGATTGATGTCATGTATTGAAGCTGAGAGGAGGACATTTGTCAGGGTGTTATGTGATCGCTATCAAGTTGGTTGGGTTTTTTTGTGTTCTTTCACTTAGGGAGCTTGTGAAACGTAATAAAATTAAAGTCATGGTGCAAAGAGTTGACTGGTCGCCCAGAAAGCGACGTAAAATAGGATTATTAAGTGAACAAGGCTACAGTTATAAAGAAATTAGAAGAAAAATGGGTGGAAGCTTAACCCAAGGTGGCATTTCTACTATACACTATTCCCAAAATTTTGGCCACTACTGTATGTGAATGCTAACCGAAGAGGTGTCTCCAAAAGTCCACTCTGTTAATAAAGACATCACAAGACACCCAACAGATATACACAGACCGTATTCATCTTTAGCTGAAAAGTCGATCCCTCTCTTCAGAAAAATGATGAATGGATGTCAGAAAGGGCAAAAAAAAAAACCCAACCCCAAAATATTCCGGAATTTCAACAGAACGCTGCCCAAATTTGGATTTACCTTCATCTCCAGCCTTTGAAGGGACCCTGTTCATATTTCTTGTAGGGCGAGGCGGTGTCGGTTTGGCCTTGATGTTCTGTTTGGAGATCAGCTTTATAGGAATACGCCGACGGACATCCAGACCCCCCAAAGTCCCGGAACTGTTTGTGCCTTGCAAGTCACTGTCTGCATAAAAACAACAACAACGACAACAAATGCACCACACGACGTGATTGGCAAGTTGCCATTTCTCCAGGTCTGATGGAGCAGTGAACCTCTTCGCAAATCTAGGCTGTATTTGGCAAGCTAATCTCAGCCTAGGTTTGGGACACTCTCCTTTAATTGTAGAAACAGCAGGAGGACGTGACAATTTTTTTTTTAATTGAAATTTTTTAAATTTTACAAAACAATACAGTTCCCTTCCCCAAGCCCCCCCAACCCCCCCATACCCTCCCCCGACCCTCGCAGAGCTGAATACAGGCTTAATTAAAATTTTTCAAAAAATCTTCAAACAGATATAAACCATTAACAAGTCTAAATACATTAATTAAACCAATTTATGAAATAGTTAACAATAATATATATATAAAAAGACAAAAATACAAGAAAATACAAAAAAATAGGAAGAAAGGAAAAAGAAAAAAGAAAAAAAAGAAAAAAGAAAAGTCTATAAAATCTATAAGATATCTTAAATTTTAAAGAGGACGTGATGGTTCATCAAACCTGTCAAATGAACCATCAAACAAAATAAGCCCATCCTCAGTACTGTTGACTGTTATCAAAATTTGTCACGGAAGACGTGACAAATTTTGATAACAGTCAACAGTGCTGAGGATGGGCTTATTTTGTTTGATGGTTCATTTGACAGGTTTGATTGTTACTCGTTATTACAAAGCTTTCTTCTCAGTGAGGTCCCAATATTATCATCTACTTTTTTCACTGAAGGAAACAAGACAATAATGGTTAAACTGATTCACAGTATGGGAAGAGATGTTGCCTGCTACTCAGGCGTTGCTTTTTTCCTTTAATATCAAAACCAACTTAAGACAGTAAAGGCTCCTCTCACACATGAATGTTGGAACACTGGCAGCTTCTTGAGGCAGGTGGTTCCACTGGTTCATTGTTCTAACTGTCAGGAAGTTTCTCCTTAGTTCTAGGTTGCTTCTCTCTCGGATGGAAACTAATCAAGGAGAGAAGCAACCTAGAACTAAGGAGAAACTTCCTGACAGTGAGAACAATTAATCAGTGGAACAACCTGCCTCCAGAAGCAGTGAATGCTCCAACACTGGAAGTTTTTAAGAAGAGACTGGACAGCCATTGGTCTGAAATGGTAGAGGGCTTCCTGCCTGAGCAGGGGGTTGGACTAGATGACCTCCGAGGTTTGGTTCAGTTCTATTCTATTCTATTCTATTTTCTCTTCTATTTTATTTTATTTTATTTTCTATTCTATTTTCTTTTCTCTTCTATTTTCTATTCTATTCTGTTCTCTTCTATTCTATTTTCTCTTCTATTTTATTTTCTCTTCTATTTTCTTTTCTCTTCTATTTTCTATTCTATTCTGTTCTCTTCTATTCTATTTTCTCTTCTATTTTATTTTATTTTCTCTTCTATTTTCTCTTCTCTTCTATTTTCTATTCTATTCTATTATGTTCTCTTCTATTTTCTCTTCTCTTCTCCATCTACCTTCACTGTGACATCTTTGGCTGAATCCCTCTGTCCTCACCTCCAACTGAAATAAAACTGGAAGTACTGGCAATCCTCAACTCACAACAGTTCACTTAGTAGTGACTGTTCGAAGTTACAACGGCACTGAAAAATGTGACTTAGGACCGTTTTTCAAGAGTTACGACCTTTGTAGCACTCCCAGGGTCACTTTCAATTTCAGACGCTGGGCAACCGGTTTCATCTATATGACCATTGTAGTGTCCGCAGGGTCACGTGATCACCCTTTTGAGATCTTCTGGCAAGCAAAGTCAATGGGGGAAAAGCCAGATTCACTTAACAACCGTGTTGCGAACTTAACTGGTGCGATTCCCTTAACAACTGTGGTAAGAAACGACGTAAAATTGGGCGAAACTCACTTAACAAATGTCTCCCTTATTCACAGGAGTTTTAGGCTCAATTGTGGTCGTAGGTTGAGGATTTTACCTGTACTTATAACCTCATTTGCTCTGATTCGTGCTCAGCTATCCTGGTCTCTTCTCCTGTTTGCTGTATTTTTTTTAGTTGGCAAGCACACCGCATAATTTTAGATTGTTAAGTTCCTTGGATTCTGTACGGAAGTCATTGTTTCATGATTACCTTTGCCATGAAGCATAACTTTTTCGCCGGCTATTGATTTCTCTACAAAATAGAACCCATAAACTAACAATTACCCTTATGTGGGAACCTATCATATATAGCCACGTTGAACAAGCCATCCTGTACTTTTCAGAGCGTTTGGAAGCAGATCTGTTCCTTCGCTCGCAAAAAAGAGAGAACACGACAGTACTTTTTTAGCATGTGTAAAAGTTATTCATGTTCAAGGTATATAAGAAACTCATCCCTTAATAAAGTCTACGTTGGCATCAATACGGTCCAAACCATAAAAGAGAGTTAAACCCTACAACTTACACTAGAACAGTGGTTCTCAACCTGTGGGTCGGGACCCCATTTGGGATCGAACGACTATTTCACGGGGGTCGCCAAACAACGCAGTCCGCCATTTTCCCCCCCCTTTTCCTTAGCTGTGCTACTCCCTTTTGTTCTATTGGCTTTTGAAAGCCAACAGAATAGACTCTCTTGAATAGAGTCTAATTCTATTGGCTTTCAATAGGAATTGTCCAGGCTGTCTCTGCTCTGCTGAGCCCGCCAAAAGTCCCATTCTGCAAACGGTGCTGCACCAGTTGGGTAGTCCTCGACTTATGACCGGTTGAGTAGTCCTCGACTTACGACCGGTTGGGGGGTCACGGCATTAAAAAGGTTGAGAACCACTGCACTAGAAGTATATACGGGAAAATGTATGCTGCGTATCAAAACAACTGATAATTTAATTTAATTCATGATGTGTTGTCCAATCATAAGGGATTCTCACCCCATAGGACAGTGGTGGCGTACCTATGGCACGCGTGCCAGAGGGGGCACTCGGAGCCCTCTCTGTGGTCACGCGCACCTCGCTCTTTGGCTACGTTTTCACAGGAAAAAGCCATTTCTCAAGCCCCTTCCTAGCCAAAACAAACCTCCAGAGCAACAAACTTTGAATTATATCAAATCTGACACCAAAACAGACTAATAGATGACCTGAGTGCTGCATGTGTTGCTCTCAAACTTACAAAGTATAAGCCAAGGTTAGACAAATGATCAGGATTGCATACAACAGCAAAAATCACACTAATTCTTCAAAAGCATGCCAAATGCAAACTTTTATCTTTCAGTAAAAAGTTGCTTGTATCATTGAAAGCTCTGTTATTGTGGTTTTTCTTTTAAGACAAAAGATGTTAATGTATGAGTTGTTTTTTTCTAAACTAAAACGTGAATATTCAGATTAAATTGCTGTGTTGGCACTTTACGATAAATAAGTGGGTTTTGGCTTGCAGTTTGGGTACTCGGTCTCTAAAAGGTTCGTCATCACTGCCATAGGACCTGCAAATTTCTAACATTTTTAAATGCATATTATACTCAGTCCATCAAAAACAGCAACCATGCAGCAATAGCTACCGCTGTGTATAAACTTGTAAAAGAAACAGCTGGACAAAGAAAACTATCGTATACTTTATCGTACACTTTAATACAGCAGCCTGTAAGACAGTGGTTCTCAACCTGTGGGTCAGGACCCCATTTGGGGTCGAACGACCATTTCACGGGGGTCGCCAAACAACGCAGTCCACCATTTTTTCCCCCTTTTCCTTAGCTGTGCTACTCCCTTTTATTCTATTGGCTTTTGAAAGCCAATAGAATAGACTCTCTTGAATAGAGTCTAATTCTATTGGCTTTCAAAAGCCAATAGGAATTGTCCAGGCTGTCTCTGCCCTGCTGAGCCTGCCAAAAATCCCATTCTGCAAACGGTGCTGCACCAGTTGAGTAGTCCTCGACTTATGACCGGTTGAGTAGTCCTCAACTTACGACCGGTTGGGGGGTCGTGGCATTAAAAAGGTTGAGAACCACTGCTGTAAGAAGATATACAACACTTCCTGATCAAGATAAGATAGAAGGAGGGAATTTTAATCAGTAGTACGCAGATGTCATGTAGCTGGGACACGAAATGCAACAAAATCAGCAGCCCTACAGGCAGAAGTTTTCAATGCTTTATTCAAATGATCTTAAAACTGCCAAAAACTGAGTTTCCATTGATACTAATTAAGAGCACACCACATAATTTAAGCGATCTGAACCCTCTCTAGTAAATCAACTAACTCACCAACAGAATATTTTCTACATGGTCGAGTCACCGTTCAAATGGCTTCTCCTATTATCAGTTTCAAAGCCAACATTGTCAAGTTTATCTTTCACATTGGTAACATGACTTCTGGGTCATGCTGTGCACAATTAATTCGTGCTGTTTCACTAGCAATTCAGTGAATTTTTTTTCAGAACAGATTGAAATTAACCCTCACTGGCCAAAGATGTTATGCCCATTTTTATACGGCCTCTGCTCAGTGGGAATGGAATGCTCACAATTAATCACCTAACCGCCATGTCGATGACAGTCGATAACATATTATTCTTCCGGACATTGATTAATGGAAATGGGGAAAGGCTTTATTTTATTTACTGATATTATGAATAGGCCAACTGACGATAGAAATTCTCTGAATATAATTTTTTTAAAAAAATTGTGTTGCAGTAAGAACAGCAGGCACATGGAAAATGACTAGCCTATTGATCCTTCCAAAAACAAACAAACCAACAAATATATTACTGTATGCTCTTGTATAATGCTTCTATTGTTAAGATAGCATAGATTCTTGACTGTTTTTGGTGTAACGTGAGTCACAGGCCTATCCCACTGGAAACTATTAAAAGTCAATGAACAGAAAACAAAAGAAATAAAACTAAACTCAAGACGACTTAAAACAAAAGGACTACAGGCACTAAACAATGTTAAAACTCTAACAGCGTTTAAACGTGTGTGTGTGTGTGTGTGTGTGTGTGTGATCAAAATCCACATGCTTGGCAACTGGCATGTGTTTATGACGGGCGCAGAATGCCGGGGTCATGTGATCACCATTTGTAACCATTCCCAGGTTGGTTTCCGACAAAAGACGACGGGGGAAGCCGAATTCATTTAACAACCGCGCAATTCACTTAACGACTGCAGTGATCGGCCTAACAGCCGCAGCAAAAAGGTCATAAAATGGGGCACACCTCACTTCACTGTCTCACTTAGCGACGGAAATTACGGACTGCGCTGTGATCTTAGATTGAGGACTACCTGTTAAGTGTTTCACAAACTTTTAGAAGTGAGGACTTCAGACTACAAGTATGAAGAACGGTTGCAGGAACTGGGTATGGCCAGTGAAAAGTATTCTAGTGAAAAGAAGAACTGATAGCGGAACATGACGGCAATATTCCAGGGGGTCAACTTATTTTCCAAAGCCCCAGAAGGCAAGACAAGAAACAATGCATGGGAACTAATCAAGGAGAGAAGCAGCCTGGAATTAAGGAGAAACTTCCTAACAGTGCGGACAATTAAACCAGAGGAACAGCTTGCCACCAGAAGTTGCGGGTGCTCCAAGGTTTTCAAGAAGAAATTGGACAGTCACTTGTCTGAAATGGTATAGGGTCTCCTGCTTGAGTGGGGGGGGGTGTGGATTAGAAGACTCCAAAGTCCCTTCCAGCTCTATTCTGATTGATTGGATTGAATAGAATTTCAGTGGAGCTTTTTAAGAAGGAATTGAACAGTCACCTGTCTGAAATGGTATAGTGCAGGGGTGGCTCTTTTATGACTTGTGGACTTCAACTCCCAGAATTCCTGTGCCCTGGTATAGGGCTTGAGCGGTGGGGGGGGTGTTTGTCTAGAAGACCTCCAAGGTCCCTTCCAGCTCTATTTTGATTGATTGATTGACGTTCAGTGGAGATTTTCAAGAAGAGACTGGACAGCCACTTGCCTAAAACAGTATAGGGTCTCCTGGTTGAGCGGGGGGGGGGCTGGACTAGAAGACCTCCAAGGTCCCTTCCAGCTCTAGTCTGATGGATTGGATTGAATTTCAGTGGAGGTTTTCAAGAAAACACTGAGCAGCTATTTGTCTGGAATGGTTGAGGGTCTCCTGGTTGAGCAAGGGGGCTGGACTAGATGACCTCCAAGGCCACTTCCAGCTCTATTCTGATTGACTGAAGTTCAGTGGAGATTTTTTAAGAAGAAACTGGACAGCCACTTGTGTGAAACAGTCGAGGGTCTCCTGCTTGGGGGGGGGGGCTGGACTAGACGACCTCCAGGGTCCCTTCCAGCTCTATTCTGATGGATGGAATTGCAGTGGAGGTTTTCCAAGAAGAGACTGGTTTTTAAGAAAAGACTGAACAGCTAATTTGTCTGGAATGGTTGAGGGTCTCCTGCTTGAGCAAGGGGGCTGGACTAGACGACCTCCAAGGTGCCTCCCAGCTCTATTCTGATGGATTGGATTGAATTGCAGTGGAGGTTTTCAAGAAAACACTGAGCAGCTATTTGTCTGGAATGGTTGAGGGGCTCCTGCTTGAGCAAGGGGGCTGGACTAGACGACCTCCAAGGTCTCTTCCAGCTCTATTCTGATTGACTGAAGTTCAGTGGAGATTTTTTAAGAAGAAACTGGACAGCCACTTGTGTGAAACAGTCTAGGGTCTCCTGCTTGAGCGGGGGGGGGGGGCTGGACTAGACGACCTCCAAGGCCCCTCCCAGCTCTATTCTGACGGACGGATTCCCCAGCCAGCCTGGGGCATTCTGGGAGCTGTAGTCCACCCCTCTTAGAAGTGGCCCGCTGAGAGAAACCCTCCAGAGACCGGGGAAAGCCTGCCGAAAAGAGAGAGAGAGACGGGAAGCAAGCCCGTCTCTATGGAGACCTCCAAGCAACCCGGGGAGGGGAAGGGAAGCCCCAAAGGAGCCGCCTCGCCGAGAGGAGGCCCTCAGGACGGCCACGGCCGCGCGAGACAACCCGACGAGCCGGCTTGGCAAGGAAAAGGCCTGCCGGGGCCCATCCAGAGCCAGGCCGCGGTAGGCCGCGCTCGGCTCCGGGGCTTCCCCGCCTCAGCGCGCTAGGCCGCCGCGGCCGAGACCCTTCGCCATTCCCCGCTCGAGCGCCGCGGCGGTCGAAGCCGGCGGGGCCGGCTCGCTCGACGGCCCTCCTCGCATCGCCCCGCTCACCATTGTGGTCCATGGTTCGGCCTCGGGCACTCTGGGACCGGAAGTCGCGCGCGGCGACGCGGTGGGCGTGGCCGGAAGCGGACGGCGCGGCGCGAGAGGGAGCGGGAGGAGCAGCGAAAAAGAGAGAGAGAGAGAGAGACGTAGCAGAGGATAGAGGTGTCTTCCTGAGGGGGGGGGACACGATGCTTCCGAGTTCCTTGTAGAGAATTTTGTGAAGAAATTAAAAAAAAAATTGGGAACTTTAGAGGTGGAAAAAAAACCCTGTTTAAATCGGATATATTCGGGCTGCAGCTCAACTTCAGCGAAGAGATGCCAAGACAGGAGTGTTTTTTTCCCTCAGAGTTTTTCAACCTTCGCTACTTTTAAGGCTTGTGGACTTCAACTCCCAGAATTCCCCAGCCAGCGTTGCTGGCTGGGGAATTCTGGGAATTGAAGTCCACATACAGCTCGTCCTCGACTTACGATCACCATTGAGCCCCGTTGCTAAGTGAGACATTGGTTAAGTGAAGTTTGCCCCATCTGACGCACTGCCTTGCCACAGGGGTTCAGCGAATCTCTGCGGTTGTTAAGTGAGTAACCCGGTTGTTAAGTGAATCTGGCTTCCCCACTGACTTGGCTTGTCAGAAGGTCGCAAAAGGGGATCCTCCTGCGACTGTCATAAATAGAAGTACGTTGCCAAGCGTCTGAATTTGGATCGCGTGACCATGGAGGGGGCTGCAACGGTCGTAAGTGTGAAAAACGGTCATGAGTCACTTTTTTCAGTGCCGTTGTAACTGAGGTCACTAAATGAACTGTTGTAAATCGAAAACTACCTGTACTGTATCTGAAAGTAATCAAGGCTGAGAAAACAGTTATCTACAGAGAAAAAGAAAATCGGAGGCTGTATATATTCTCTGTTTGTCTATCTACCATCTATGTCTGTCTGTCTGTCTGTCTATTATCTATCTATCTATCTATCTATCTATCTATCTATCTATCTATCTATCTATCATCTATTTCTATCTGTCATCTATCTATCATCTATTTCTATCTGTCATCTATCTATCATCTATATCTGCCTATCTGCCTCTATCTATCTATCCATCTATCTAACTAACTAACTAACTAACTAACTAACTAACTAACTCTCTCATCTACCAGTATGTCTGTCTATCTATGTCTATTTATCATTTATATCTGTCTACTGGTAATTATCTATCTGTCTGCCTGCCTGCCTGCCTGCCTGCCTGCCTACCTATCATCTACCAGTATGTCTGTCTATCTATCATCTATCATCTATGTCTATCTATCATCTATATCTACCTATCTATGTCTATTTATAATCTATGTTTCTCTACTGATATGTATTTGTCTATCTATCTGCCTGCCTGCCTGCCTACCTACCTACCTATCTATCTATCAGTATGTCTATCTATCATCTATGTCTATCTATCATCTATCATCGATGTCTATCTATCATCTATGTCTGCCACTCTGTCTGTCTATGTCTATTTATCATCTATGTCTGTCTGTCTGTCTGTCTGTCTGTCTATCATCTCTCTCTCTCTTTCTCTCTCATCTACCATTATGTCTGTCTGTCTATCTATGTCTATTTATCATTTATATCTGTCTACTGGTAATTATCTATCTGTCTGTCTGCCTGCTTGCCTGCCTGCCTACCTATCATCTACCAGTATGTCTGTCTGTCTATCATCTATCATCTATGTCTATCAATCATCTATGTCTACCTATCTGTCTATGTCTATTTATCATCTATGTCTCTCTACTGATATCTATTTGTCTGTCTCTCTATCTGCCTGCCTACCTACCTACCTACCTATCAGTATGTCTATTTATCATCTATCATCTATGTCTATCTATCATCTGTGTCTGCCTATCTGTCTATGTCTATTTGTCATCTATGTCTGTCTGTCTGTCTGTCTGTCTGTCTGTCTGTCTGTCTGTCTATCTATCTATCTATCTATCTATCTATCTATCTATCTATCTATCTATCTATCTATCTATCTATCTATCTATCTATCTATCTATCTATCTATCTATCTATCTATCTCTTGGAAGGAAGGGAGGGAGGGATGGATAAATGCATAATATTGCAGGTTGCCCCTTGGGGGCGCTGCAAGGCTTGGCTGCGACTTTCCACCATGAGGACCAGGGGGCTTGCCAACACCTTTCAAAGTCTAAATCCCACCCAGGTCCAACAGAGAACTCCGCGCGCACGTTAAAAAGAAGTTAAGTTGCTCCTCCGTCCGTCTCTTCTACACGGGAATCTCGCCCTCTCGAAAAGCAAAATTCTGACTTTTATGATCCATCCAGGCAAGCCTCGTCGACCCTCCTCCCCCGCCCTCGCCCCCGGAAGAGGTTGAAGGAATCCTGGGGCGATCCGGGGACTCGAAAGTCAAGGCGGCTCGTGTGAATCGGCGTTTCCTGATCGGCCAAAGCGGTAGCGCTTCTCTTCCTTGCACGGGAGTGGAGGGTTAGGCGCGCCGTGCAATGTCTTCGGCCGCCTTTCCAGCAAAACGCTTCAAAGCGGTGGAGCGCGGGAGTTTTTTCCACCCTTTTTAGCAGAAATTGAGGTCGTGCGTCCCTTTGCAGCTTGTTTATTCTCTTAAGTTGGGGGGGGGGAATGTTTTGTCTCTCTTCTCTCTATCGCGTGGGCAGATTTCTTGGGAGGTAAAGTGAGCGTAAGTACCAAGGCAGCCTTTTGCATTCGTGTGTGTTGATCACGTGTGAATGTGACATTGGTGACAATGCAGAGGCTGATGATGGCGGTAGATGACCGCAGAGATTTTGTTGTTGCTTTTTAAAATTATTATTATTATTATTATTATTATTATTATTATTATTATTATTATTCATTAAACATGAACCTCAGTCAACTGAACATTCAAACGGGCTGGCGCTGATGGTTGACACGGGTTGCTACCAGCATCCTAGGTGTCAACTAGGTTCCATCCTTAAAATGTAAGATGTTCCGAGTAGCGCAGTTTTTTGTAACATTGCTGGAGTTATTGCAGGAAGCTGCAGTTTCTTGATGTATTTTGCAAAGTTGTTTATTATTATTATTATTATTATTATTATTATTATTATTATTATTATTATCATCATCATCGTTATTATTTCCATCACTGGAAATTTTTAAGAAGACACTGGACAATCACCTGTCTGAAATGGTATAGGTTCTCCTGCTTGAGCAGGGGGCTGGACTAGAAGACCTCCAAGGTCCCTTCCAGCTCTAATCTATTCTAAAAATAATTATAATTTTGTTTTATAAAGGACAATTCAAGAAGAAAAACCAAGAAAGTAATAATTAAATTACATAAATCTAAAGGACGGCTTTCTGAAATAAAGGAGCATAATTATTATGGATCATGGCACAGTCAGCCAGATGTTCAGACTGGATTTGGCATTTTGTCTACCTATCGAGTCCTTACCCAGGACCTGGGATAGGCAGATGTGGATGTTTGATGGTATTACAGTATCGGCGCAGGATGGAAGCAGTTCCTAGTAAGGCTGCCTTTTGCAATTGACTAATGGCAAATTTGTCAATGCCAATGGTGTTCAAGTGGTGCTCCAGTTGTTTTGGGATTGCACGCAAGGCGCTAATAATAATAATTGTTGTTACTATTATTATTATTATTATTATTATTATTATTATTATTATTATTATTATTATTATTATTATTATAGGACATACGCTCAGGCTGGGCTTGGAGGCTTCCAAAGAGTAAGCTAGCATTTCTCAACCTTTGGCGATTTAAAAGACTTGTGGACTTCAACTCCCAGAATGCCCCAGGAAGCATTTGCTGGCTGGGGAATTCTTGCAGTTGTCTGTGGCCTGCATACAGTCCAGCATTTCTCAACCTCGCCAACGTTACGATGGGTGGACTTCAATTCCCAGAATCCTCCAGCCAGCAGAGGTTTCTGGGAGTTGAAGTCCACCCGTTGTCGCTAGGGTTGACCTGGACCTTGCATTGAATTTGGGGCTTTATGATAGAATAAAAGACAGTTCTTTCTTTCAGAAAGCCGCCCTTTAGATTTATGTAATTTAATTGGTTTTTGTTCTTGAATTTGTCCTTTATAAAACAACATTATAATTATTTTTAATCCTTGTGAATCTCTTTCAGATGCGCCCCGCTGTCAGGTTTCTCCTTTGGTTTTGGTTTTTCAAAAAGTGTGTACTTAAGATGTTTTGAGACTGTTCATCAGATGGCTATTAGGGAACTGAGTTTGCAGCCATCCGAATCAAACTCAAGGTTCTGAGCGTTCAGTTCGTAATCAAGGAGATGGCGCTGGAATTTGGGAAAATTGCTCTTATGTCCTTTTTTAAAAAAAATTTGTTTTCTAGATGCGGCCTGATAACATTGACCACTCCAATCTCTCTGGGCAAATGGGACGGTCTCCAGTGAAAAACCCATCTGATTTGTTTCATTTGGAACACGTTGTGAAAATATGTGCCCCTATGGTTAGGTATTCAAAGTAAGTGCTGTTTTCAGCTTGTGCCCATTTATCTGGGCATAAACAGTCAACATTATGCTTACATTAACCTAATAATGACTGTTTTGCTCCGTTTGCAAGCCACATTTTATCAAAGATATCCTCTAGTGCAGCGGTTCTCAATGTTTGTGTGACGGCGACCCCCGCCACACAAACGTTATGCGCATGCGTGGCGCGGGGGCCGCCCCCATGCACGGTGTGCATGTGCGGGGGGGCACCCCATGCGCGGCATGCATGTGCAGCGCCCCCCCCCCGGAGGGGAGAAAATGGCGGATCGCCGCCTTTGGCGACCCCCGAAAAATGGTCGATCGACCCCAAATGGGGTCGCGAACCCATAGGTTGAGAACCGCTGCTCTAGTGTAAAAGTTTTAAATAAGGGAATACCTCTAATTTAATAAGGAACGGTTGCTGGAATTGGGTCTGTCTAGTTTAACGAAGAGAAGGATGAGTGGGGACATGATAGCAATGTTTCAATATCTCAGGGGCTGCCCCAAAGAAGAGGGAGTCAAACTGTTCTCCAAGGCGCCTGAAGGCAGGACAAGAAGCAACGCGTGGAAACTAATCAAGGAGAGAAGCAACCTGGAACTAAGGAGAAACTTCCTGACAGTTAGAACAATTAACCAGTGGAACAACCTGCCTCCAGAAGCGGTGAATGCTC